TAAAAAGGATGCTGTCTGGAAGGAAATAGGAGAAATTTTAAATCAACTAGGTAAGCAACAATAATCGTATTTTATTTTCCTTAGTAATATTCTTGCAAATATTAGTTTCTCGTATGCAACCATTCCATACTTCCAAATTCGCTGTTAAAGAAGTCCTTAAGGGGGTAGACACGGCACGTGACCTCTCCAATTCGGGACGTCGGTATTACAGCAGTTTTTTCGTTGGGCCTGGTGGAGTCACTTGCGTGGTCTGGTACTAACTTGAAAGGTTTAATTCTCAGTTAGCGTGCGCGCAACACGATCTAGGAAGGCAACAGCGCCTTAAGGAATTTTACAAACACATTTAAACGCTCACCTCGCCAGAGGCATCGCGATGATACGCCTGAAGAATGAAAGCGAAACATTGGCGCGTGTTCAGAGTGAGATGTACGGTGATCGTGCTATCCTTCTTTCAACCCAAATGATAGAATTGTCCCGCTCCGATAAATTCTGACTGACTGAACGCGTGGATTTTATATAGCGCACCGTAGCACCCCTAGCTGCTGATAAATATATGCCTACTCTAAAGAACCGAAGGAACGTGCAATCTGAGAAATTTTTTAGAAAAAGTTATTAACTTCTTTAAATAAATGTGTTTTAATTAATAAGAATATACAGGATACGTCATGCAATTTCTGACGGGTTATTATCTTGAATTTGGTAAGAGATAGGAAAAAGCTGTTTATGTAAAAGTTCAATAGTATGATAATGTCTATTTTTCTGTGATTTCATTTTCTCCGTAAATGCAACGATGCACTCAAAAAATGCAAATCCACTTTTTATTTAAATGGAATTGCATTTTTTTTTACTTGTGTCAACTCCTTGAAACATTCTGCATAAAAAAGTACTATGGTACTATTAGAACTAATAAATGGAGGGACCTCACATCTACATACAGTAAAAGCTGGATATATGCAACGAAAGAATGCTTGGATAAGTGAAACATCGCTATCCCCTCCACTTGGGGGATCCCCCTAGGCGAACCGAGCCGCTCGACGAGGAAACCGTGTAATATGATCCGATCGTGTCGGCTGAATACAAAACATGTGTACGGGCTCAGAATCGACACCTCGCTTGGATAAATGAAACATTAAATGCCCGTGTCGAGTAACCCTTAAAGATAATCATCTTTAGGGACTTTCCTTGTTTTCCCGAACTCAGAGAAAGGACCCACATAACTTTTCCAACCCCTGTCAAATCACTCTCAGTCCCGGAATTCGGGACTAGTTTATCGGGATCGGATCATTATCGATCCTACCCTAAAATCCAAAAACATTGTAACCACAAAGTTTACGACTTCCTTTAAGAATCCAGCCACCGGACCCGTACGTGACTCCGGCTCGCGCTTTTCCCGCCTAAAAACGTCCTTTCCTGGAAAAACCTCCCTACTACTCGACCACCACACCCCAATGCCAAGTATAAAGGCAAGCTCTCTGGAAGAGCAAAGTTAGTCTTAGTTCAACGTTAAGAGTACGAGAAACGTCTGTAAAATGAAGAATAAACTCACAACCAAATAACCCAGTCTTGTTATTTACGATCCGACGACACCCGGAATCGACTCCTCGCTTGAATAAATGAAACATTAAATGCCTAGAATCGACACCTCGCCAGGATAAATGAAACCTTTGAAACCAGAGCCGACACCGCGACTGGTTTTGATTTCGATCTCTCTTGCTTTTCGCCAACTTTTAACATCAATTTTAGCAAGTAATTATAATTGAAACTATATCGTGTTTGGTACCACTTTACTCACAAAAATCTCACCAATGCGCTAGTAAAAGTTTCACTAAAAAAAAGTCAAAAATAAAAAAGTTTTTTGATTCAATTAGTATTAGTCACACCGATACGTTTCGGCTCTTTCCTTTGATCATCGGACCTCTCTCTTTCCACCACTGTCTGTCCTTTTCTACGTTCACGCTTGGCTGCTCGTTGCGTGTAACCCGAGATTAGACACCTCGACTGTATATATGCAACGTCTGGGTCCCAATGTTTGTTGGATATATCCAGCTTTTACTGTATACAGTAGCGCAACTGTCTGTCGGCATCTTTGATGTTTGTGTAATATAAAATGAGTACGCATGCGCGGAGTCAGCAAGTAAATATACTTACGTAATCTGAACTTTTTTCTCATTTACTCCTTCATTTTTTATGCGCTCTCTCTCTCTCAGCATTTGTTTTTTTTAAAACCTCTGGTATTCAAACATTTAATAATGAATATTAATAAAAAAAATATAAAAGGAAAGCAGTGGTGTGCTGTATTAAAAAATAAAAAAATGTTGCATTTTTTCCTTTATATGTCTTTATGTATTATATTATTAATAATTTGTATTTTTACTAATAATAAACTAATTTAATAGTTTTTATTAAAATTTTATCTCTTTTAGAGTTAGTTGAAAAGAGAAAAAAGTTCAGATGGCGATACTGGATTTACTCGCTGACTTCACGCATGCGCACTCCATTTTATGTTACACAAAATCAGGAGAGTTGCGCTACTGTATATACTGTGTTACTATTATACTTTATAACTTCTTTCGTTTTTTTTTTTTATTAATACATATGATATCCCGTGTTTTTGTCTTTAGGAGCATAGATTACTTTCCTGTATATTTCGGGTGTGGTGGTTTGAATTTTAATTTGGTTATTTGTAAGTTGTTCTATGGTGTATTTAGAGCGGTCAGCTATTTCTTCTAGCATTGTAAGCAATGGGTCAATGTTGTGTGCTTCTATGTATATTGGCGGAGGGTTGGTGTTATTTTTTGGTTTGCTGCTACTGATTTGTGTTACTTCGACTTCAGAGAGTGTTTCATATTGGTTGTTAAGTGGTACGTTCTGTAGTCATTTATTTTTAAATGTAGATTGGTACTTTTATTCCTTGATTCGCTTGCTTTACGCTTTCTTGGTTTATGAATCTTGGCGGGTTGTATTCCAATTTTGGTTGATTGAAGAGTCTGTTTCCATTACTTCTAACGTTTCGTCAGTTGGATACGGGTTGATCACTTTCTTTACTTTATCTTCTATGTTTGTATTAGGTGGTTCTATTGTTTGGTGTCTTGCTTCGATATTCGTCGATTCATGTGTAGTAACCTTCGCCGGCATTCCTGATTTTTATCGGTATGATACTGTTTAATGACATAGTGACTTGTAGTTGCGGTTACCCGCACGATGTTGCGGGTTCCCGCGTTGTCGTCTTGTTTATTGCTTTGTAGTACTAACGTATTAACGCACTAACGCAATGCTACGCTGAGGTTTTCAAACGCCGTCGAACTGAATTAAGAATGTAAATGTAACATACCAACAATACAATAACAAGAGGCGAATGTGAACACGTCCGTACTGTATGGTGGCAGGATTAGAACTCGCAAACAAGTGACAGCACGTTATGTGCAGCCAGGAAAGCGCGTGTACAGACACGCACGCGCACACAGGGAGTATGTACTCAATCTTCAATCGCTTACACATTTCGAAAACGAAATCACAATTTGCAAAATGGTAAATGGATTTTCGATTTGTTTTATCATGTAGAATGCACTGTTTTTGGGAAACCCCGTACTTTAATTCGAAAAGTATGCATATGCATGTCTGATTTGATTCAAACCTGTCTTATTTTATAGAGGCATTCATAAGATATTATATGTAAGAAAAATTTCGTGGAAAATCCATAGAATCATACAAATATCCAGTTTTGAAAAACATAAACTGCCATTACTAAAAAGCAAATGGAACGTAGAGGTGTACTTCCGAAAGCGACAAGCTTTCTTAGGGAAGAAAGTCCCTAAAAGGATTTTTGGCGACAAAGCCTCGTTTGCCCCCAGCCCCCTTCAAAGTTTTGACAATTCTTATTAAATATCTCCGAAAATATTGATTTTAGAGAAAAAAGTTTAAAATAGAAAATGAAGTTCATAGCTAAAGCTGCTGGTTGAAAACGGTTTATGAATTCGTATTTAGTGCATAAAAATCTACAAGAAATGACTATTGAATACTAGTTGTTCAAATACGCGTTGAATGTGTTATTACTCACATATCTCTAGCCTACTCGGTGGATACGTTTAATACATGTGTATATACATATATCTCTTTTTATTACATGTAATTAAAATGCTGACAATGTTGTATGTAGTACATTTTATTGTTGTTGTATCTAATGTTCGTAATATCTTATATAATATAATACTAAAGTTTGATTTATATACTACGCTTTGAAACAGAGTAATTTATCAATTAAATTTTACTGTATTTATGTACGTTGTACAAAAAATATCATATTGTACGTGGACCGTGATTCTTAATTACATCCCTTAAAAAAATATCTCTTATTTTTGTAAATTAATAAAATTGTCAGTTTTAAATAATAGTAAGGACATAGTGACGTAATCAATTCTTTCTTCATTGTTGAAATTGATCTTCGGGCATTTCCTGTCGAAGGTGAGCCAGTTAGGAGCTATCGTAACTACACCATGTATTATTATGCCCATGAACAACGCCGAGAAAGGGACTTAATCAAAGTGAGCAGCTTATAAGAGCGCGACAGTCGAATGCTTCATTCAGTACAGTCAACGTGATTCAAGGCAAACGAGTCCCTGGTGCTTATCTAACGAACAAATTGCTTATCATTTATCGTTTTTCTATTCTTAATCATCAGTGTTATTAATTTTATACCCTTTATCGATAAACGATGCGGATTTGCAGTTAAACGATTGATTTTTTTCAATATTTTCAATGTATGTTGTATTAAATCAGTATGTAATAATTAAACGTTTATCTCAGCAAATATTATTCTTAATATAAAAGTGATGACCAATTTAAAAAGGTGATGGATTTATTGTGATTTGTGGGATTAATTACATTTTTCCGAGTGTAAATTATACAGAATTTTCATTCGCTAAATGTTCTCTTATTTTCTTTTATAAACTAGAATGATGTAATAATATCCAAATTACATATTCTGTTTCATGACTGAAACTTTCGAAATGAATTCATGAAAAATATTTGTTTCATATTCTTATTACTGAACCTATTTCAAGGAATTATATTTCGAATTGAAATTATCATTGGTCTCGAGAAAGATTTAATAAATTCTAGTCTTGTTCACTTAATCAAATAATACTTACATAAGTAGATTTTGTCTGAAGATCGCTTGAAGTTAATCATTGTAAATGAAGACAGCGAATTTTACGTAATACATCAGATTACCTAAGTGTTGTTTGATGCTGTAATCATAATTATCTAACATTAAAATTAACATTTTCAACTAAAGAATTCATTGAACAAATTTACGACCGAAATAAGGTACTTAGTTGAAAGGAGACAAAATTAAAAAGTACATAATGTGTTATAAATTCGTTTCGAAAAATCCAGTCTAATGATAAGTAAAAAGTAAAACATTTTAAAGTCTATAAAAGTCATAACCGTACAAATTTTGAAGAACATAAAAAGGAAAAGTAATCAATTTCATTTATAGTAAATGAACAGCGAAAAATAGAGTGAAGAATAGTAATACGTGAAGGAAACAGCGGTCAAAGGCCATCCATCGTAAGTTCAACATACCACGAGGATGAATGGAGTTCTTGTACAGTAAGAGACAAAAGTGAGTACACATAACACTGTGTTGACAGCACGGAATTTATTCAACAAATTTTTATTAAAATCAATTAAAAAATATAAAGTGTACACAAACACAAATTAATGATAGAAAATATTAACATATCTGACATGTATCGAAAGCTTATTGCATAAATATCGTATGACCATTTCTTGTGAAATTTGAGTTTTTATATGCAACAAATAGTTATATATTTATATTTATGGCTGTAGTTCCGAATACGACCGGTCGCCGATCGAGATGAAATTTGGAGGGTTGGTTGGGAAGCAGGTAGACGACCCCAAATATAAAGTGGTATCTTCGGCTTCCTATTAGTTTCCGAGATATTAATTAAAAACTTTCGTACAATATATAGAATTTTTCCTATACAAATAGGAAATGTGTATGTTGGACCTTTTGGAGTTTCATGGTGATTGATTCGGTACGTGACAAAATACTACTCCGACCAGCTTAGAAAGGTTGCTAGCAATTAGACAATGTGCTATTGAACATGACTGACCGTGCTTCTAAATTGATGTAGTAAATTCATCGGTTCATGAATTTACCGTTGGTACCATTTTTACCAGGTACATAGAAGGCAAAACGGACGATATCTTACGGTGTGTTAATTACTCTCGATGGTTAAACCCGTAAGATTGTTAAAGTGTAAGACTGCTCTTATAGATCCGCGAGCGGCATCCCATGCCGTGTAACACCTTATATGGAATCGGATGGGTGCACCCGACACCAACCGTCTTCTAGAAAATTCGAGACCAACGCAAAGCAAGGGCGCGGTCCTACGGGTCACGTAGAGTCAGTCCCCACCACTTTTTTACTCTAGTTTTTGAGTATAAAAAGGGTAGCGACAAGGGCACCTCGGGTCTAGTTGAAGTCTAGAATCAGTTCGTTACACGTCAGTACGTTCTTTTACGGATAATCTCTGCAACGAGGAAACTCTGCGAGATCGGGTATTCAAGTCCCCTTCAAGCACTCACAGTAACTATACAGTACGTTGTCTGCTGTTAAGCATTATTTTAATCGTTGTAGTCCGCCCCCGTTTGCTCGCGTTCGTGAAAACCGAGAAGGATTAGATTCTTGCTTCGCGGAATCGAAACTAATTTCTATTTATTCAACTCATTTAAACTTGCAACCTAGAGTTTAATTCATCGAACACCGCGACAATTACACACAACAATTGTAAAGCCCCGGAATAGAGAATAAACTCACATTATTTTTAACTTACATTCTATTATTCAATTATATTTACTATCCAGAAACCCACTATGGTGTACCTTTACCGCTCGAGGTACATCAATCAAGTTACGAGACCTAATACTAACGCTTCCTGCGGCTCCCTACGTTAGCCATACGTAGGTTCGTCCGCATATCACGCTCCTGAGGCTCCCTACGTTAGCCATACGTAGGTTCGTCCTCCACTCTACACCTTTCCTGTGGCTCCCTACGTTAGCCATACGTAGGTTCGTCCACTATAGCCAACCTCCTGGAGCTCCCTACGTTAGCCATATGTAGGTTCGTCTCCACGTCTACTTCCTTAGGCTCCCAGTGTTAATAACAACACTGGTCAAGCCATTAACAAATACCATATACCTAAATTAAGCCCCGGCTACGCAGCCGCCCCCTCCGGCTCGTAACAACCGCAACTCTGTAAATCAAAGTGCATGCTTTTAAACGCATGCAAATTCCTAACGTCTGATTCCTAACTTTGCCAGAACTGCGAAATCCGGCGATCTGACGAAATTTTGTCATTAGAAAAAGTTGTTGTGCTAGTCTAGCACAATCCGGCACAATCAAAGAAAATATCAAATTTTTTAATCACCTCACTCTTTTTTGTTCATTTTTATTGACACCTAAGCTAATATCAACTTTTAGCGCATGGATCTCGCAGATTGTAAGTAGCACAATTCAGCACAACTTGCAGAATTCGATTATCTGTCGCCGTTTGTAAGTTATACGAATATTAAATTTTGTATTCCTAAAAATTCAATATTTTTTATCTTCAAAATGAATAGAGATATCGAGTTTCTATTGACGGCACAACGTAGCACAAGTTATCACTAATTATGTTTAAAAAAAGTTTGCTTCGGCAAAAGTGCGAGGCTAGTATAATTTTGTTTTTATTTATTTTCTTAATTGTTATTGATGTTATCGATCTTCCGTTTGCGGCACAATTCAGCACAAACATAGCACAATACGGCACAAAAAAAAAACTCAAAATTCGAAAAGTGCGGGGCTATCAATAATTCTTTTTAAATTTTCTTGAGTACGCTTTGACTTACAGAGTTGCGGTTTACGGCACAATACGGCACAAACGTAGCACAGTGCAGCAAAATTTCAAAATATACAAAATTCTTAAATTCATCTAATCATCATCAAGATTGTTGCGATAAAAAAACGCGTTCATACCTACTAAGACGTCGTTTTTTTCTTTGTGTAACGAAGAGAGATTCTTATCGAAGGTAATTATTTGGAATTTAAAGTACGTTAATTGTTGGTCACGTCTCGTATGACGAGACGTTGGCGACAATCTTTGGTCAGAAAAATTAAAAATTTTGATTCCGCAGGTTCTTAAAAGAAGCCGATTACCACAGGAAAATTGAAGACAGTAGAATACAATTAAAAGCTTAAGCCCAAGTATTTCTATAAAAACTTAAGAACTCAAAGTTTCTATAAAAAAATGAAAAAGAAATGAGAAGAAAGAGAGAAGTAAATAAGAAATTACAAGGATATATGGATAGATGTTAAATTTGTGTTATTAAAAACGTTAATGAAAGATTTATAGATTATTTAATATTGAAAAATTAATACAATATGGCATCAACAGAAAGGTAAGTTAATAACTACTATTAAGTATAAATCTAAAAATAATATACTTTTTAAGTAGCCGCTTGATAATTCTCTGTCATATGTATACGTAATTTTCCGTTACGAACACAGCGTGTTAATTAGGGTGGGCCGAGAAAATTCAAAAATGTTGTTTTTCTAGTCGTAATACCGTGGAAAAATTGCAAATTAGGTAGGCAAAAAAAAAAGAAAAAAGAAATCAATTAAATCGATTGATGTCTTCCGGTCGCGCATCCGAATTAGTTTGTGAAAATCGGCAAAAATTCACATTTTTACGATAATTTTTAATACGATCGAACTTGCCATGATCCCAATATAATAGCTCAAATTGTTGTGTATCAGAACCACCGAAAATAATGTATCAAAAAATACTTAAATTGATCAATCAGTTTTGCTCGAGCAACTGAGGTAGACAGACGTGTGTATCAGTGCTCCAGTGATAAACAAAAACAACTGCCACTGTGACAGGTAGTGAATTGAGGCAGTAACCGCCAATGGTCGCTGCCGAACGGTAGAAATTTCAAAATGCAGCATCAAATACTGCCAATCAAAATTTCAACTTAATTACTTCAACGAAAATTACTTGATAAACAAAGTTACAAATATGTTAATTCGTAAATGTTAGGTGACCGTTGCGAACGAGGCCTAAGGGAGCGAAAAAGCGCGAGTGCCGCGCGCACGTATGTGAGTGAGTGGGGAGAGAATTTAGTAAGTACAGTAAAAGCTGGATAAATGCAACCAAGATTGGGACCCAGTGGTTGCATTTATCCAAGGGAGGTGTCTAATCTCGGATTACACGCGACGACCAGCCAAGCGTGAACGTAGAAAGGGACAGACAGTGGCGGAAAAAGAGAGGTCCGATGATGAAAGGAAAGAGCCGAAACGTATCGGTGTGACTATACTAATTCAACTATAAAACTTTTTTATTTTTGACTTTTTTTTATGGAAACTTTTACTAAAGCATTGATGAAATTTTTCTGATTAAAATGGTACCAAACACGATATAGTTTCAATTATAATTACTTGCTAAAATTGATGTTAAAGGTTGGCGAAAAGCAACAGAGATCGAAATCAAAACCAGTCGCGGTGTCGGCTCTGGTTTCAAAGGTTTCATTTATCCAGGCAAGGTGGCGATTCTGGGCATTTAATGTTGCATTTATCCAAGCGAGGTGTCGATTCTGGGCATTTAAATGTTGCATATATCCAGTCGAAGTGTCGATTCTGGGCATTTAATGTTTCATATATCCAGCCGAGGTGTCGATTCTGGGCATTTAAACGTTGCATATATCCAGTCGAAGTGTCGATTCTGAGTCCGTACACATCGTTTGTATTCAGCCGCGATACCTACATATTCTACGTTCGTACACAACATGCAACGTGTTGCATGTTGCATTTTGCGTGTTTGATCCATCTTTGGTGTACTGCCTGCCTTATGTTTGGTATCATTTTAATCAGAAAAATCTCACAAATGCGTTAGTAAAAGTTTCATTAAGAAAAAGTTAAAAATAAAAGAGTTTTATCGTTCAATTAGTATTAGTCACACTGATATTACGGTCGGATCATATTACACGGTTTCCTCGTCGAGCGGCTTGGTTCGCTGAGGGGGATCCCCCAAGTGGAGGGGATAGCGATGTTGCATATATCCAGCTTTTACTGTACATTAGTCGTGCTGCACATCAGTAGTGCCGAGCGAATCACACTGTATTACCTTTACGTTGTGGCAATTTTAGTAATACAAGTTCCTTTGCAAACTTGATGTACTTAATTCAAATACATACCATGCACTAGATTTTTTATTTGTGGTGTTGTACACCTCTTGCTTTCAAGATATAAAAGCTTTGTGAATTCAACAAGCAAAAGTAATAAAAACACAGTTTATGTAGATGTTAATTAGAAACAGAAATAAAAGTGATCAATAGTGATGGGTTTTCGAATTTACACTTGGAAACGAATCGAAGTTTTTCAAGACTGGGAATTCGAATCGAAGTTAGTTAAACTCTTAAAATGCTTTTAAGAGATCGAGTACGCATTTTTGGCCGGAATTTAAAGCTCTAAAACAATTAAAACTTTTTAAAATAGTAAGGATAGTAAGCAAGTAAAGATATCATATAACAAACTATAACCGCAAAACAGGAGGCAATAAAATTTATTCCATTTGGTTTGTTAATTTAGAATCTATCATTAAGTTATATTTATATTTTACAAATTAATTATGTTAAATAAACTAGCGAATATTTTTTATAAACTTCTAGGAAATCGTTTAAATGCTGTTCATGACATAAACAGTGTTTAAATTATTTTCCAACCCCATTAATGTAGGTACAATATCAATAGAAGTTTCTTTTTACATGAGAGCGGGTTAATCATTTTTACATTACTTTTTATGGGAAAGATTGGTTTGGTATATGTCTTATTCGGTATAAGTCCAAATATCAAGAACGGATTAAGTTCGTATACCGAGATACCACTGTATATGTGTAGACAGTAAAGATTTATAATATATAGTATACTTTGAAGGATGAAATTATTACTTATTTTACTTTAAATTAGTAATACTCTGTGTAAGTTTAAAAATGCTCCGTCCTTAAAGGGTTAATAAGTAAAATTGTACATTACCATATAACGATCTTTACTACGATTAAAACTAATTCATTAATTTTTATTACTTTTATTAAATATTTTTAGCGAAGAGAGCCGGATGCTTGGATGCGATACGGTTGATTATGTACAAGTGACTAAAGTCGATAATATTTGCGAGGATATTGAAAACAACAACACTGATGATAAAGGCAATATTTTTGATGACAGAAACATAGTAACACGATTCTCATCAAATTCCAAAGGTGTATTTGCACAGGTGAGGATAAAATAGAACCTATATAATATTAAAATTAGAGTTACAAGAAAAGCATGCATCTTTATGTTGATTCTATTGCAATACAGATTACGCAAAATATTGTATAATAAAAGGACAATAGTAGAAACAGACCAGTTTTGATAGTGAACAGAAAAGAAATATTCCTTTACAATATTTACAGTCGATCACAAAAATATTCAGACACCAGTATAGTTTTTTCTATTTTAAGAAGATATACAAGTAAAATGTGTGTATTATTCTATATTGAATTACAGTTTATAGTTAACAAAAATATAGATATCGTTTGTTTATTATACAGATTGATTCTTATTAAGTGGCCAATTGAGTTTTCCTTAAAAAGAGAGATACAAAAAAAACACAGTTGAGCAAAAATATTTTGTTCGGAAAAAACAATATTTACCATATACACAACTACGCTATAGGTGAATGTGCTAGAAAAGTCTCAAAGGCAACTTTCTTTATTTAACCAGAATAGTGCAGTTTTTTTTGTTATTGTTAGATAGGTTGATTATTCAGAGCATTTTGCGTGGAAAAGTATTAACAACATACTTTTGTTGTTACATACTGAAACAACAACATAATGTTTAACGAATCAGTAACTTACGAGATATTTTAAGTTTAAAAATGGAATTTAACATACAAAAATTTAAAATATTTTACAAATACCCTTGGGCGACAATTATAATTCAGACTATATCGTGTTTGGTACCATTTTAATCAGAAAAATCTCACAAATGCGTTAGAAAAAGTTAAAAATAAAAAAGTTTTATCGTTCAATTAGTATTAGTCACACCGATATTACGGTCGGATCATATTACACGGTTTCCTCGCCGAGCGGCTTGGTTCGGCTTAGGGGGATCCCCCCAAGTGGAGGGGATAGCGATGTTGCATATATCCAGCCAAACGTTTGTTGCATATATCCAGCTTTTACTGTATAAAGTTAAATAAAAACTACAAAAATGAATGAAAAAATAGACACTAGTGATGATGAATTTTATGTTGAAGAATTACAAAGTGATGTTAGTGATTCTGACAGTAGCATTAGTGAGGTTTATACGAGGAAATGAAAAACGGTACCCCTAAATTATTCAGATGAACACAGTGAAGAAACACCGCAGAGGATTTCCTTTTCAATTTTCACTTACGATCGTAAACCAGGGCTACATATTGGCGATTGTTTTCTTCATTATCACACAAAAGAAGAATATAAATAATGAATTACGTGTACAAATGCAAAAGAATTACACAAATAGTTTTTATTTTTGTATTTTGAGGAAATCGCACCTAAAAATCATTTTAAAACTAACATTTTTGAAAAGAATTATGTAAAAATAACGATAAAATATGAATAGATTTCTTTTTTGTACTCCTATTTTGTGTTTATTCAACATTTACAAATATTCTTACAAATAAAAAACTACCTCATCAAACGCATGCAGCGTCTTCCCTTATCATTTTGAAATAAACAAATGGGGCGCTGTGAAAAATCCAGGCGGGCCGCAGTCAAAACTTAGCGAAAAGGGACTGAGTAGGGCCACCTTTACAACTTGCCACTCAAACCGAGTCGCATCTACTGAAAATCAGGAAATTTGTAAACGTTGTATCTTGAAAACTAATTAAAATCGAGTGTATACATTAAAGCTTAATAAATTCGTCTTGAGAAGCACTACCACATGAACTAAAGAAAAATATATAGTTCCATTTGAAAAACGAAACTTGACCATCATATCTCTTAAACTAATAATGCAAAAGATTTTTCACTTCGGCCAAAACATAGGCCTCCTTTTACCCTGCAATTCCCATATCAACAATTTTTTGTATCATTAATGGTTACGGAATAACGGAATTATAACACTTGAGGTGGGACACACTGTATAACTCCCACACTCTTATCGCCAAATACGCCATCTAACAACCTCTCATAACAGTTTTGTATTTTTTTTTAATTGCGATAACTCATTGTCAGTTGTAAAAAGTGAAATTACCCTCAAAAGTTTGACCTCTTAAAAGCTAACTCAGTAATTGTTGGACGGTACTGGTCAATCTTTGCTTTTTTATTATTTTAATACGTTAAAATCTAAAATAAAAATTTCCTATCTCCTACAGTTACCGAGTTAGTTTTTAAGGGATCAAACTGTGGAGGATGATTTCACTTCTTACAATGGATTATCGTCTGATCGTTTGAGACATTTTTTTGTCAGTATTGCTTGATCAGATCACATATACTGGCAATAAATGAATTTCCATGATTTACTTCACAAAACTATAGTGCTATAATGTTTTTATAGAAGTATTATGTATTTGAACATTTATGATACACAATAGTGTTACTATTATACACCTTTTCCTTCAAATGTCTGTTACGTGAAATCTGTTTCAGTGTTTAGTATCTGGTGCAGTTTTGTTATTAGCAGCTGGTGGTGGAATGCCAATTGGTTATAGTGCCATTCTTTTGCCGCAATTGGCTCAAAACAATGGTACAATGCATGCTGATAGGGAGCTTGGATCTTGGATAGGTACGTACATCTTTGCGAAATTTGAATTTTTTAAATTTTTTAAGATAAAAAATTATACTATTGTTCAAATAATTATAGAAATGTGTTTTTAATTTTGCTCGTATGAAACGATTATATGTATATGTATACACTGACTATTATTAAAAAAATGATAGTAAACGTTAAGAATATATAAAATGATTTTTGGCTACGCTATAGCTTTGTTCCAAGTAAAGTTAGAAAAACATCTCTATATAGCCGACTGCATAGCTTTTTTCGTCAGTGCACTTGCGAAATGCAGGTTTTATTGAACATTACAACTCTTATTGCATGAATTGACTATTTATGTTGTTTTGTATACGAAATGTAAAAGGCAAGGTAATTGAAAACACAATTCTTTATTATAATAGATACAACGTGGAATTATCATACCACTGATGCTGAAATCGTGAAACGTGGGACAAATCTTTACCACGATTATAACTTACCGCTGGCTTCTCTTACATATTTTCTTATATAATACAAAAATTATTTTTACAGTGAGATATTTGTGATTAGACTTTTTTATTTCATGCGCCATAGTTGGAAAGATTAAAAATCGATTATTTCGTCACGTTTTGCATGTCAGAATAATTTACACTGCGAACTTTCGCATATTCTTGATCAAATAAATATTTTATGCTTTTACATATAACAAACCAGTAAGAATAAAGCATCTGATACATTTTAGAATTTCTCTGTTGTATATGTATTTGTTATGCATTACTATTATTACTTTGTATAAAATATGACATTCGGTATCAATAAAATTAAAAAAAGTTTATTCAGAGCAAGCGTATGTACTGCTAGAATCTCTTAGAAATACAGAGGTGCCCACTTAAGCGTCCACAGTCGGGACCGAATACGGACGCTTAATTGGGGAGGTGACTTCTGCGAATTCAACTGAAGGAAGGAGAGGAGATGAGTGCGAGTAGGATACAGTAAAAGCTGGATATATGCAACAAAAGTTTGGCTGGATATATGCAACATCGCTATCCCCTCCACTTGGGGGGATCCTCCTAAGCCGAACCGAGCCCCTCGGCGAGGAAACCGTGTAATATGATCCGACCGTAATATCGGTGTGACTAATACTAACTGAACGATAAAACTTTTTTATTTTTAACTTTTTCTTAATGAAATTTTTACTAACGCATTTGTGAGATTTTTCTGATTAAAATGGTACCAAACACGATATGATTTGAATTATATTTATTTATTAAAATAATAAAACTGTACATATGTATAAGGCAGGCCGTACACCAAAGATACATCAAACACGCAACATGCAACATGCAACACGTCGCATGTTGTGTACGAACGTAGAATAGGTATCGCGGCACGGTACAAACGATTTGTACGAACGTAGAATAGGTATCGCGACACGGTACAAACGATTTGTACGGACGCAGAATCGACACCTCGGCTGGATATATGCAACGTTTGAAACCCGAGCCGACACCGCAACCGGTTTTCATTTCCAATCCTCCTTTGCTTTTCGCCAACTTTTAACATCAATTTTAGCAAGTAATTATAATTCAAACTATATCGTGTTTGGTATCATTTTAATCCGAAAAATTTCACCAATGCGTTAGTAAAAGTTTCAGTAAAAAAAAGTCAAAAATAAAAAAGTTTTATAGTTGAATTAGTATTAGTCACACCGATACGTTTCGGCTCTTTCCTTTGATCATCGGACCTCTCTTTTTCCACCACTGTCTGTCCTTTTCTACGTTCACGCTTGGCTGCTCATCGGGTGTAACCCGAGATTAGACACCTCGACTGGATATATGCAACGTTTGGGTCCCAATGTTTGTTGCATATATCCAGCTTTTACTGTAATCGAAATCGGAGCTGCCGTCCGTAATCTAAATAATTACCGAGGATTTTTACTAATCCGTAATATTTAATGTGTATAATTTAAAAATGTTTAATACAATTTTTAACATTTAACATTCTAAACTGATTTTAATATATTATATTTCAGCTTCGGTTCATAGTCTGGCAACTCCAGTGGGATCTCTAATGTCTGGTCCACTCTTGGATGGAATAGGCAGGCGTGGTTCCTTACGACTTACAGCCGTACCACTTTGTACTGGATGGATCATTATGGGTTTTGCCCAGAACATTCCTACTCTTTTAATAGGAAGAGTTGTCTCTGGTCTCGCAGTAGGTTTAATGGCCGTACCAGCTCAGGTACAGAATAATATTGTTTCATCTTTTCATATTATTCTTTATCTTTTTCTTTCTCTATTGTTTATAAACTCGCCAGTTTTGGTTTAACCGTTTAACGCTCTAATCTGTGACGTGTATCACAATGTCTTCTTTAGTCTCTAGAAAAGGTATGTTCAGCTAGTAACAAAATACGACAAAATGAGACACAGCAAAATTCGATATCCCTGTCTTACTTTGTCGCATTTAGTTTCGTTTTCACATTTCGTCGCGCAGTGGACCTATTAGAAAAGAACTGGGCGGTGTAAACGCACGATTCCCCTTGCCTCTGTGACTTTTTAGCTAGCCGGAGTTCGGCATTCTTCTGTCGTATGAACTCCTTTCAGGCACAGACAGTAAATATCAATGCGATCCTAACTTTGCAGAAATTGAGATATTTGAAGCAGACAAAAACTAATTCATATCCTTTGTCCACCATTTGAAAATGCTGATACAGTATTTTATGTAAATTATGTACAATGTACGTGTAAAGGTTTTATGTATACATTGGAACTGTTTTTCATGTGAATTAAGTTTATCAGCCTAAAATCGTGATAGATTGAAGAACTATCTTTTGAATTAATACAGTTTGTATTTCAAATGATATTCACCTTTCCCGCTGCTTCATTCAATTCTGCAATGGTACATTATTTACTGTATGAATATTTTTAAAGCCGTTCAAATTCGCATTGTACATACAACTCTATACGGTATAATCCTGAATTTTTTAAGAACACTCAAAATACTATGATAGATTATACTTTCTTTTTTTTAATTATCAGACATTTGTAATAATGTTTCTTTTTCTTAAGTTTTAATTTAAATGTGGAATTTATTTTAATAGGTCTTGTTAGGCGAAATGGCTGATCCAGGACTACGCGGATTTCTAACAGGAAGCACACTTGCTTTTTATTGCCTCGGTATCGTTATAATATACGCCTTAGGGGCAACTTTAGCATGGAATATGGTGGCTTTCTGCGGTACTATACTTCCTGTTTTGGCATTGAGTGCTCTACTCTTGATACCGGAAAGTCCTACATGGCTTGTAAGACAAAAAAAACCCGAAGAAGCAAGAAAAGCTTTATTGTGGTTAAGAGGAGGAAACGCAAAACAGGTACCATGCATACATATCTACCAATATAGTAACAATTTTCACAAACAAATAAGTAAATAAACTTTACAGAAATAAATGTTTCTGAAAAAAATGTCGGTACTAACATAATATTAATCTATTTGAACTGCAAATGGAGGTTGTTGTATTACTTATTTATGAGAAAAACAAAATTTCCATAAACTTTAATGCAAAAGGAAATGTTGATAATAATAATTAGACTGCGGTTATTTATGCATCTTTAACCGACTTCGAAAAAGGAGGAGGTTACTCAATTCGATCAGTATATTTTTCTTTTTCTGTGTTCGTTCACCGATTACTCCGAGATGGATGAACCAATCGGAACGAAACCTTTTGTATCTTGTAGAGTATGTCTCCCGATTGGTCCCGTTAAAAAAACATTCATATTTTTTCATTGCCAGGGATTATTATTGCAAAATACAGGAAGTTTTTAATATCAAGATTGGACGATTTCAATGACCTTTTAATATGTTGTCGGGGACATGATTCTGAACAACTTTTTCATTATGCATAATTAACGGAAAGTTTTAGTTTCTGAGATATTCGTGAAAAACTATTGTTACTACTACATTGAATTCTACGTATGCCTACGTGTCTCTACCGGTGTATGAGTCAGTATGCAGTCGCCGATGCTCTACTGTTTCTTATACAGTAAAAGCTGGATATATGCAACGAAAGATTGGCTGGATATATGCAACATAGCTATCCCCTCCACTTGGGGGGATCCCCCTAAACGAACCGAGACGCTCGACGAGGAAGTCGTGTAATACGATCCGAACCGTTATATCGGTGTGACTAATACTAATTCAATGATAAAACTTTTTTATTTTTAACTTTTTCTTAATGAAACTTTTACTAACGCATTTGTGAGATTTTTCTGATTAAAATAACACCAAACACGATATAGTTTGAATTATATTTATAAACAATAGTAATAAAATAAACAATATAGAATTGACACCTCGGCTACATATGTATAAGGCAGGCTGTACACCAAAGATACATCAAACACGCAACATGCAACATGCAACACGTCGCATGTTGTGTACGAACGTAGAATAGGTAACGCGGTACGGTACAAACGATTTGTACGAACACAGAATCGATACCAAGACTGGATATATGCAACGTTTAAACGCCCAGAATCGACACCTCGGCTGGATATATGCAACATTAAATGCCCAGAATCGACACCTCGGCTGGATATATGCAACGTTTAAATGCCCAGAATCGACACCTCGGCTGGATATATGCAACATTTGAAACAATATATTCATATATGTATAACGGGTGGGGCTAAAAATTAAATTTAACTAATTTTAATGATTTTAAATCGCACTATGTGCATCTGGTCGCCTAACGGTGACCAGAATATCGTTTTCGTCAGGTTAGGCTATATTAAATTCCCGGTTGCCGTTAGGCAGCCAGCACACACAGGTCCAAATAAAAAATGTTTAAATATTCGTATAATTTCATTTTGTATTATCTAGCTACGACACGTTGAAGTGCAGAAGTACATGTTAGAAATATTTTTGATTCCTCGCGCGATCAAGGTTCTGGGGTAAGTGCCATGTCGTTCCTCATGGTCCTCCTACCAGAAGATGCAAGATCTTCCCCACTCCGTGGCCAGATCCTTCTAGATAAATCTTATCTTTTTACACGTGCCATGCAGCTGTCACGCTCAAAGGATCGGTAGACAGGAAATATACAAACAACACTAGGTCGATGCTGCACTTCGGAAATCTTTTACTGAACTGAACTTGTACAATGGGAGTTATGATCCTTATATACAGAGTCGTTGGTTCAGGGGTAGAAAGTCCTTTCGTGCTGGGTCCAGGGATCATTCTTCGTCAGAGGCGTGATTCAAGGGTCCGAAGCCCATCGTCATCGGTTTGTTGTTAGACGAGCTGAATCACGGAGGATTCAGTATCCAGGGTCCAGGACTAATCTTATCGTGTCGTTACACAGCACCATGACTTCGGGTCATCGGCCACACGCGCGTTCCTTCGAGGATCGGCGATCGAACTCTCTATCGCCGTTCCATAAACAAAACATTCGCGACTCTTAGAATTCGTCGCACCTCAAGTATCAACTACCGCTGGCTCAAGTCCGATGACGGACATATGGCGCGGGGTATCGATAGCCTAAAGAATCCTAAGAAATCCTTGAAAAGCAGATCAAAGCCCCAAATGCATTGACCCTGCCACGTGTCAGCCCTTGCACACGTGTTGACGCTAACATACACAAGGTATATGTTGATCATCAGTCGTCATGCTGTTGCCTGCAGAAATAGTAGAAAAGCAACGAACGCACACTAATGCGTAAGATGTAACACGGACGCACACGAACAGGTAGAATTCAAAGCATTAGTTTCGACAATTTTTCGAAAATATCTCGAAAACTAAGTTCGAGTATAGGAAAAAGTTGTTCAAAATTTACACGATATTTATATAAATTTCAACCAAACATTTTTGTTTCTTATTTTAGTTACCATAAGCCTATTGTATAAGCCTTTTTAGAATAAAAATGTATATAATTGTTGTTCATAGTGCCGATAGATGTGAGAACCAGACTAATGTTAATAATCTTAATTTACAAATTATGAAATTTTAATTTTTGATACTACAATTAATTTGAAAATTCAAAAAAAACCACTGTTATTACATAGTTTTAAGTTTTCACTTCTGTCGACAGTCCCCATGATTGTTTTCCATTTTTTATTAGTTAATTAAAGTACGGTAATTTTAAAACAGTTATATTCATGTGCTTGGAAAAGCATTTATCGAGCAAACTGACTAAAATAATGTTTTCTTTGACAGGTTAATACTGAGATAGCAATTTTAGAAGCACGAGCAAAAACGGATTTAGCACGAATGGATTTAAACATGTCATTGGCTGAACAAGCTTCGGCAGCAATTTCTACCATTCTTGATCCAAGTGTTTTAAAACCTTTAACAATCATTAATGTCTTTAATTTACTGCAACTAATCAGTGGAACATATGTTATTGTTTTCTATGCAGTAGATCTCATTGCAGATATTGGTAAGGGTTGCCTTATTATTTTTAAAATAGATAATAGATAATTAATTGAGCTTCTCAAAAATCAAATTAATTAATTTCAGAAGATTGGAAAATGAAAAATAAGATATGAACACATTAAGGGTGCTATAAACATAGAGAAAATATTTCACCACCGTAATCTGTAGAAAATTAAGTTTTGTAATTTGACATTTGAAACGCTCAATTATTTGTAAGAAAATTATTGCATGAAATCAATTTTTGTAATTTAGTTGTGGAAGAATATCATTTTCTATTAGATTGTTACCGGCAAAATAGTCAATTTATTGACAGAATTTCCAGCAACTACCTACATAATGTAACTTTTTTAATGCAACATATTCCAAAAAATTTGTTATTCTTTTCAAAGCTACGAATCATTCAGAATTAATCAATTTCATATTGATTTACTCCAACTGATAACTAGCCCCCTCATTAGATTAGAAGATAATTAGATTAGAAGCAGTAAAAACTTTTGACAGCCTTTTAAACCTTAATCCGTGGACGGTCAAACCGGATCAATCATAACTCGAAATCCATGAAACGTATCCAAAAGTATCTTAATTAAAGTTAAATCTATCAATTTTTAAACAATAAAGTTTTATACCTTAAAAAATATTACTTGAAAAAAATAGTACCAAATTAGAAATAAGAAATTAAGGTAATTTTGCACAAAAAGACCCCAGTCGCCGATGACCTTGACCTTGACATATGTTGTTATGACCCTGAGTAACGTTGGCCTTGAAAAAAGTGGCGGTCGCGATCCGTTCAAAAGCTACGAAGCATTCAAGTATTCGCTTTTTTTCGCGTTTTTAAGCAACCTTTTCTTATACATATAACCGCCGCTTGACCATAGTACCGACAGTGGTCGAAGAAATCATTGCAAAAAAGGGCAATCCAGATGTCCATCGATGGCTGGTGAGAAAGGAGGACCTCTGGAGGCCCTCCAAGTCGGGGTGTTATAAAGAAGACGGTCAGTACAAGTCTGGTCAGTTTCCTGCGAGTCGTTGAAGTTTGTATTTCGCTTTGTGTGTCGTGCAGTATTAACTATTTGCTGTTTGTTGGATTTTGATTATTCAAAAAGAGCGTAAGTAAATAAAGTGATTATTATTTCGTTGTTATTATTTTTTAATATATTTTCATTACTTTCTGAAAATCTTTCATAGAATATTGATTCTTTTAATAATTTAGATTCCGATAGTAAAAGGACAATGGAGGTATTAATCCAAAATTGGTTAAGAAGAGCTTTCGATAGAAAAAATGTAATTGCGAAACAATTTTAAACGAATACTTTGTATATTTTTAATAAAATATTATTATACTAAAAACGATTGTATTTTAATTAAACAGCATTTATAAGACATCTGTAGGGTATATGTAAGATATCTTTAGGGCGTTTGTAAGATATCTTTAGGGCGTTTGTAAGATATCTTTAGGGCATTCATAAGATATCTTTAGGGCATTCATAAGACATCTTTAAAACGTCTGTAAAGCATGTGTCGGATATCGGTACGACATCTTTAAACATCCCGTTTTCTAACATAGGATATTTACAGGACGTATTTCAGGCATTCGTAGGACTTTTCAGATATTCGTAAGATATCCTCAATATCTAATTGTGCTTAATACCGCTCTTGCCCATCTGCCATCCTGCGAGGCTTCTTATGATCAGAGGACAGCACTTTTTCATCTTCTTTAACAATTCTGGATAAGTAGTTTGAAAAAACTGGATAAGTTTGAAATAATGTATTTCCAAAAAAAAAAAGATTGAGTCTGAGCGGACTCGAACCTACGAAAAGAAACTTCCAGCGGTTTAACAGTCAGACACCGTTGAAAATACTTTTCATCTTTTGAAATATAACGGACGTAACGTACTTTTATCAATTAGGTTTATTTAGTTTAATTCCTATTCTATTCCACTGCATGTAAAAATATTGAACAGTGTATATACCATGTATTTGATAAATAACAGACGAAAATTCGTCGAATAAGTAACTCTAACACGCAAAAAACAGCGAAAAAATCGGTTTTTAATTTTTCTAACTATGGCGCACCTCTCCAAAAACTCTGAAAAAAATTGAGGATGATAGTATCAATAATATACACTTATAAACAAAATATGATCGTAGGACCTCATCTCCTTCAATACAAAATCGCCATTTTTCGGCATTTTTCGACGTTTTTGATTTTTCACGGCTTCAGTTTTCAATCTAAAAATCTGAAAAAATTCTATAATATGTGCCTCACAAATAGAAATGTCTCTGATTTTTTTCAGAATTTTCGAATGTCATTAAATAAGAGAAATTGGCCAAAAATCTCGCAATTACATTTTTACCCATAACTACCCTCCCAGATGAGATACAGGGTTAAAACTTAGCACAGACTGGTTTTTTTTGATCATCTATCGAATGGTTCATAGCAAGTCGAATTTAGTTTGGGGGCACTTTAGACCATCTTATCCGGCTATACCCTTTCTCATCGTTTTGCCGATAAATGATGGTGGATTTACACTTTCTTGGAACTTAAAAAATGACACTTTATCAATATTTTAGGAGCCTGAGCTACCTAAAATTTAGCTAAAATTTTCCTTCTTTATGTTATATTTTTCTATTATACATATTACCTAACAGAATATAACATATGTCATTAAATGTTGCAACTGTGCTAACAATAAGTATATTATTTTGTCATTTGTTCATTTGCAGGTGGCAATAGAATAAATAACTATTTGGCAGCCGTAATTACAGGGATTGTCAGACTTTTATTCAGTTCAATTTCGAGCGTCTTATTACTGAAAGTAGGCAGAAGAAGTTTGGGAATGTTTTCGGCTTTCGGCACTGCCTTCGCCTCGTTAAATCTTGCGGGTTACATGTTATTCAAAAAAGAGTCATCTTCTGCTGATGTAAGTGAAAATATTTTTAAAAAAGTTATTGTGTAACATAGGATAGGTGCATGTAATACCAGACAATACGTGAAATGGAACACCGAAAGATTTCGGCAACTAAATAGCTACGTTTGACCACAATCATTTAAATTAAGAAGCAACCATACTGACTTCTGTATTTTAGTTCATAGTGAGAAACGTTCCATGCCAAATCGATCACTTTTTGATGTCATCATCGGCGATTTTGTTCTAAATGAAATATGTTGTAGTCCATATGAAATTAGGGGGGCTTTAAGTCATCATTTTGCCGGTTTCGAATTTGTTTAGAAATTACAGACTTTCGAAGTTTGCAATTTTTGCCCATTTTGACGAAAACGGGCTTACGAATTTTTATCTCAGGAACTGTTTATGCGATTGAGCTAGATTTTCTTTTGTTTTATTCAGAATAGATTGAGCTATTATAAAATAATTTTTTCAACCTCGATAATTAACTTTATAATCTCGAAAAATGTAAACAAATTCTTTTTTTGTGTTTTTTTCGATAAGGGGTAAAAGTGATTTAAATTTTGAAAAAAATATGGTCATATTTTCTGAAGTTTCCCTTTCAAAATGAGCCCTTCAGAAGGATGGAGAATTGAAATTTGGCGTCACGATGAGCTGGAAAAGGATGCGGTGTACCCCCGTTTCAGGTAGGCGTGTCGTGCACTCCGCTATTATGGTCGTTTGTCTGTACCGCTGGTCTTAAGAAATACCAGCAGACCTCGTATACGACTAGATGACCCTATTTATACCTCGAGAACTATATTATTAACCACTCTTGACCAACGACAACTTTTTAATTATAATTTCATTTATAGATGTTTGTTTTTATGTGCAGTACGCGACAAGCTACGACCATAGGATGCGTTGAGAGCCGGGTCAACAGAGGTCGTAAGTCTCTGTTCGATGTCACACCGATAACTTGAATCACGCACGTCCCTACGACCCTTTAAGGTGATAGGAATGATTGAGGGTGTGTTTTGATTGAAAGTTCAATAAATGTAGACAAGAAAACTGATGATTTAATTATATCGAAAAAACAGACTATTATTTTGAAAGGTTAAACAGATGAATTGATATAATATTTCGAAACTCTGAATTTGCGCGGGAAGATAATGTTTCCCTTGAGGAATAAGACGTTCTCCTCGTGAATTCTAATACAGACTGACGAGACCGACTCCTTCAAGAACTTCTTGACTTTTCCAAATCGTGGGAGTCGGTTTCATCCCCTGATTGATAAATATTTCCACCAATGAAATGGTGGCCTCACTGAATTTGGATATTTGAGCGGTCAATCTGTTGATCCGGAATCAATGACGCGATCTTTGGTATCGTTAAGAACGTTAATGTGCGCTGATATTCATTGGTTTTAGAATGAATGGTAGCCGTGACTGTATGTTTCGCGACCGTAGACAATGTATTGAGAGCCCCCACAGGAACATGACATTGTTTCCTCGGGATGTCGAGCCTTTTCACGAGGTCTTCCGTTATGAAATTGTTCGTTGCACCTGTATCGATCAAGGTCCTACAGTTGACGGGTCGTTGATTCTTGTCGATTACATATGGCATACTAATAGTAAACCACGCCTAAGGACAACGTTTAAACATTGGCATGCTTTGATTACTTCAACGTAGTAGTATTGTTGTAAATTTCTTGTTAATTAACCAATTATAGTAATTTTTGGCTCAGAATTGGATATTTGTAGGAAAACTGTCATAATTTTTTTAACGTAGGCCCTCAGTTGGGCATTCCACTAACTATATCCCGACTGATTCCCAGCTGTTAGAAACAGTTAGCCAACTATAAATGCTACTAGGCAGCGTTATTAGCCGTGTGAATATACATGATATTCTGAATCTGCAAATCGTTTCCTTCTTAAAATATTTATGGTTATACTATAATAACAGTTAATATTATTTTATTCAAGAAAATCCATAGAATGTATCCTGTTCAAGGTAACGATGCAACTACGATTGTAAAAACACGAAATGTGTGAAAAATTGGAAAATTAAAAGCTACTTCTCCAAATTTTACTATTTGTTAAATATTTTGCTTCAAGCTGATTTTGAACAGCAGTGAGAATTGTAAACTTATTATTGTTTTCAAATTGTGACCAACTAACAACACTTAAAACTTCCATCTCATAAAGACGACACAAATGTAAATTAAAATAATGATGTAGTAACTAATAGCTTGACTTATATTGCTTCAACATGTTTCAGATTTATGTTATCGGCATTTGCTTACTGTTATACGTGGGTGTAAATACTTTGGGCCTGATGACACTTCCGGCATTAATGGTTGCAGAACTACTTCCACAAAGAGCTCGAGGAATCGGTGGTGGCTGTAACTTTTTCTTTTTCAATTTGTTTATTTTTATAGTCACGAAAGTTTTCCCTATGGTACGTATGCAACTATACATCATTAAATAATTGATTTCACCTTATAAGTTGTAAAAAGCTAGTGGGTAATTTTTGGAGGAAAGGGTCACTTTTTTAGGCTAAATTTTGATTATAATTAATTGCAAAAAATGCACGGAGTTTTGCTTTGAGCAGATGAGATAGATGAACCACTATGAAAAAATTAATACAAGCTACGCTTTATTTTCTAGTTGTACTATTACTTTTTTGGCGACAATAGCAATCACCGGCGCAATCAGTAACCAGCGCTCACAATCAACACATTTTAGCCAATCATATACAGTAAAAGCTGGATATATGCAACAAACATTGGGACCCAGACGTTGCATACATCCAGTCGAGGTGTCTAATCTCGGGTTACACGCGACGAGCAGCCAAGCGTGAACGTAGAAAAGGACAGACAGTGGCGGAAAGAGAGAGGTCCGATGATCAAAGGAAAGAGCCGAAACGTATCGGTGTGACTAATACTAATTCAACTATAAAACTTTTTTATTTTTGACTTTTTTTTACTGAAACTTTTACTAACGCATTGGTGAAATTTTTTGGATTAAAATGATACCAAACACGATATAGTTTGAATTATAATTACTTGCTAAAATTGATGTTAAAAGTTGGCGAAAAGCAAAGGAGGATTGGAAATGAAAACCGGTTGCAGTGTCGGCTCGGGTTTCAAACGTTGCATATATCCAGCCGAGGTGTCGATTCTGGGCATTTAAACGTTGCATATATCCAGTCTTGGTGTCGATTCTGCGTCCGTACAAATCGTTTGTACCGTGCCGCGATACCTATTCTACGTTCGTACAAATCGTTTGTACCGTGCCGCGATACATATTCTATGTACATTCGTACACAACATGCGACGTGTTGCATGTTGCATGTTGCGTGTTTGATGTATCCTTGGTGTACGGTCTGCCTTATACATATGTACAGTTTTATTATTATTTTAATAAATAAATATAATTCAAATCATATCGTGTTTGGTACCATTTTAATCAGAAAAATCTCACAAATGCGTTAGTAAATGTTTCATTAAGAAAAAGTTAAAAATAAAAAAGTTTTATCGTTCAATTAGTATTAGTCACACCGATATTACGGTCGGATCATATTACACGGTTTCCTCGCCGAGCGGCTCGGTTCGGCTTAGGGGGATCCCCCCAAGTGAAGGGGATAGCGATGTTGCATATATCCAGCCAAACTTTTGTTGCATATATCCAGCTTTTACTGTACAGGGTCTACCCACAGCCGACTCTACTAGCCGTGCTGAAGTAAAAATGGCAACACCGCGAGAGTCCGGTCTGAATATATCAACACCTACCCTACTCTATCTGCCTCCCGGACTCCCAGACTTTCAGCCAATCAACGTCGTCAGACTCCCGACACTCTCTGGACTTCACATAACCTCTTTGGTTTCGATCCAATCATTTCGCTTGTTTCAAGGTTTTTATTAACTTATATACACGTTTATCAATTCTTAAATGTTTCAATTTGATCCAAAGATGGTTTCATTTTGCTTCATACCTAAATTTTCTTGAAACCACTGTAAATATTTCAAATATCATGCTTCACAACACCAAACTACTGTGAGAGTACACAAAATATATATCACATTTATAACAATTTTATACTACCACATCACTTCTATTTGCCATAGTTGCAATGTTTATATATTGTTTATACATAATTAACACAAAATAGTGTATATTACTACAGCTTGTAATTAAAAAGGACGTTAATTACAATTCCGAGCACAGGACTCTGTTTTTGAAAATAGGACTCCCGATTGTCACGTGAGCGGTGTTGCCACGTTGTTCAGCATGGCTAGTACTAGAGTCGGCTGTGGCATACATACATATATAGAGAGATGTAAAAATCCCTAGAGTTAAGTTGGTAATCAACCGAACTCTGGTCCGAAATTCGATTCGGGATACGAGTATGCACGACAAGCAATGAAATTTCGAATCGAATCGGCTCGGCTCGGGTCAGGTTGGCAAAACTCGGGCGTGATCGGCAGAGACAAACATATTCGTATCCTGAATCGAATCTCGGACCAGAGTATTGCCGATCATGCCAAACGTTACGCTGTTGCCACATTCATAAGTTCACGCGCACACGGGTTCCGAGATAAATGGTAGAACCTGTATGCGAGAGGCCTTGAAACGCCCGGATAATTCCCTCGAAAAACAATTCTATTAGCGACAGCTGAATTATCAAGGGAGAAATCGTACAACTGCGTTTACTGACTGCGTTTATTGCAAACTATCAAGTTCAATCATCCGAATAAAATTACATACATGTCATAATTTCTTATTTCTTATTGGAAAAGGTGTGCGAAACAGTGGGCATTGCTGGCATTTTTATTATCTTTGGAATCTCCGCAATTCTGGAAGGAGCATTCATCTACGTTGCACTTCCGGAAACAAACAATCGTACACTTGAAGAAATTGAAGATTATTTTCAGGTATATATCCTACTTTTTTCATGGTTTATTATTACTTTAACGTAAAGATTTGTAATAGACTAACTTCATATTAGGTTACATATGAAAGGAAAAGGACATAAATTAAAGAATTTTTTGTAATTATATAAATATAGATAACCTTCCTATAATACGAAAACCTATTCTGTTAGGTGTTGTATGATGCAAAAATATTGTTATTTTGTAAATGCTAAAAAGTAATACAGTCGAGTTTTCTTATCTGTTGACTCAATATCTAAGACTTCAATAATTGTCCACGAACTTATGTGAAGTCCTGATGACAATATCCTGATAACTGATTTAATGTATCAGTAAACACTTAAGTGTTTATGATGTGCTTCTGTTTGTATATAGGGTGAGGCACTAACAATTGCCACCTAGAACAACTTTGAAAGTATGATAGTAGCAGGAAAATTTTCAAAACGAAAGTTGCATGTAACGACAGAGGCCGTAGTAGGGCGTTAATCTTTTGTTGCTAGGTGGAGTCGCTTTAGAGATACGAAGGTCACCTTTGTTTTTTTTTTAAATGCTATGTTTTGGTACTTGTTTTCTGATAGCGGCTATTGAGACGAATTTAATGAGGTGCAAAATTAAGGTCTTCAAAGGTCAACAAAGGTCATTTATGACAAAAAAGGCAAAATAAACTTACATTTACAGAAGGTGTTTAAAGTGATTGCCATTGGTATCAATGCAATGCTACAATCTAATTATCATGGATTGAGTAGTATTTTTTATCACTTCGACACTTATCGGATCACATGGTGTAACAATCATTATAATGATTACATAAGTCGCGCTAGTGTAACCACCTTCTTTCTTGAGTATAAAATTTCGTGGATTGGCGTTGGCGATACAATTTAGACATTTCAAACACATGTTATGTGTTTCCCTAATTGACTACAATACAATTGAAAATCAAAAACTGAAAAGACTCAGAGAAGAAAAAATACTTTATTAGTAGAATCTCAAAAAACACGGAATTTTTACGTAGAAAATCATGTTTCCAAGTTCCCAAGTTTTTTTTTAATATCTCAAAAAATATTAGATAAATAAAAAAATATTTTCAATAAAACTTGTTCAAATTAATTAGCAGAATGAGATATTATAATAAATGCGTATCTTATTTTAAAAAGTTCATTCGCGCCTCACCTTGACCCTGAAACCGGTGCTCAAGGTCACATGAATATTATTTTGTTGTGTACCTCTCGACACCCTACAACTTTTGTACGAAACATTTTTTTCTACAATGTGTTGTTTATGAGATATTCCACCTGTTACGTTTCAAAGTTATCGCCCTGTATATTTATTATATAATTTAGTCAATATTAACAGAGAACCTGTTATGCATTTATTGAAAATCAATACTTTTTTTTTTGTTTCAGCAAAGCAATTTACTTTGGGTAACTCGATCAACGGAAAGGAGAAAGGATGCTGCATTTATTATGAATAATTTTTCGACGCAACGAATGCAAAATTGTACATAATTGTCATAAAATGTTACATAATTGTATCATGTTGTATACTTTAAATACATGTAATGGTAAATTACCTGCTTTAACCACTTTCTTAAAAATGCCTGTAAATCGAATATTTTAAAGGTAATAAATATTGTATTCATCGATTTGTGAATAATATTTAATTAATACTTCAATTTCATGATATCTATAAACAGCTGCGATCTTGATAAAGGATAAAGTTCCGAATGTCCCCGTTCGCAGATCGACATGAAATTTCGAGGGTTGGTTGGGAGCAGGATGACGACTCCAAATATAAAGTGGTATCTTCAGCTTCCTATTAGTTTTCGAGATATTAATTAAAAACTTTCTGTACAATAGATACAGGGTGATTCTTCCGCTACTTTACTCAAAGGAAGTGCTGCCACAATGTAGTATGAATGGTCCCAAGCCATTTTCTCGACGGAGGTGCAAACTGTAGCTGTGTCCATGAAAAGATTTCGATGACAGGAAAGGACTTGGATCCATTCATACTGGTGTGGCGGCACTTCCTTTGAGTAAAATAGCGAGAGAATCACCCTGTAGAATTTTTCCTATACAGACGTAACTAACACAACCGTCTTCGCTGTAGTAGCTATCATCGTTATTCCAACCTGACTATCTATAGGATGTCCTATTTAAAACTTTGAAGATACGACGACTGTTGCAGCGTTGCCGGCAGTGAATTTATTTAACCTGACCTATTCTAACCTAACCTACATATAAATGGTAACTTACGGTAACTTACGACAAGGAAAGGAAAAAGTTAAGAAAACAAAAAAAAATGGATTTTACATGGGTCACCCTATAGAAACGGAAGCCGATATCGCTATGGTGTGAACGGCTGTTCGACACTTGACGATGACGATTGCTACAGCGAAGACGGTAGTGTTAGTTGCGTCTGTATAGGAAAAATTCTATGTATTGTACGAAAGTTTTTAATTAATATCTCGGAAACTAATAGGAAGCAGAAGATAACACTTTATATTTGGGGTCCCCTCCCCCTCCCCTCAAAATTTCATCTTGATCGGCGACCGGTCGTATTCGGAACTTCATCGTATTTTATGGGGCAGGTGTGAGGCCCCGTCCACGCCTTTAAGAATCCAATGCCTGATGTTCGCCCCGAAAAATTTGTTCTACCAACTAAGTATGGTTTCGAAACCATCATTTGTTTTAAAACTTTTACCCGTTATATCTATGACTTTTCGGCCGCCGCAATGTATTTGTGAAAACAGTAGATAAGCGGCGGTCCGTTGCTGACGCATACGCCGCCGTAGATGCATAGGTATACGTAGAATTCATTGTAGTAGTAGCAACAGTTTTTCGAAAATATCTCGAAAACTAAGGCCGAGCGGCGGTTATATGTATAGGAAAAAGTTGTTCAAAATGTCGAGTTTTACAGCATATTTAAATTTTATCAAAATCGGTGAGGTGTAACCTAATCTCAATAATTACCTTATTTTTATTCATTTAAAAAAGTGTAATAGGTGATAACGATTATTTTATTGAAAAATTTATTAAATGATGTGTTTGTGATATTCTTGACATGTAAAATTGTTTTATTAATATAAAAGTAATATTTTCATCTTAGTTACACAATTCTAATAGAGATATCCTACACCGGTTATGGAAGACTTAAAGACGGGAAATTTCAATTGCATTTACGAATGAGAAGGAACAACGTGGAAACAATTTGTTCAAAATACAAAATGTGATTAAAATTTTTTGTTCAACAATCATTACAAATACAGTAGGCATAAAAATTGTACATCCCACTTTGAAAATTATTTAACAATTAGTTCATCCACAGGCCATTATACAACAGCATAGCATTCGATTAGATACTCACCTGTTTATTAAACAAGAGATCACCTAATCTAATGAGACGTGTTTTACTTTTTTTTTTTAAATGTACAAAGAGTGAATTGATTTAAATAATTCCTCAGGAATGTTATATATAAATAACACAGCGACTGACTGTTTCAATCAGTGTTGTGCTACACTGTTAATATTTCTATGATGTCGGAGTCACAGATTCCAAACAGCATCACATAAAAATGATAAATAAATGCTGAATTATTTAATTACATATGATAACCAAGTGATACAATGTTCAGTCTCGCAGCGTTTCGTAACAAATATTAAAAAAGAACTTCTTGTGCCTCTTTGTTACAGTTCACTTAGTTCGATATTGTTTATTTTCCGAGTAATTAGATGAATCTTTAGTCTATCTCGGACATCTAGCTTGTATTATGCAACAGTAATGCCAACTGTTTGAAGATAGGTCCTCAGATGATTTGCGTTAGGCTCTGGAATTTGGTCCAGAATATTGAGTAACTGTCTTGGTGATAATCTTGCTAATCCTTGTGCTAAATGCAGACGTACGTCACCAACCGCTATATGATTAAAAATTGTAACATGAAATATCATAGTAGATTTCTCTAAGGCAATTGACGACACAGGGAAAGGAGGTTTCACTACTCGTTATAATACTCGAGAGTTACCAGGTATGTTTTAAACAGAATTCTAAAATCCAAATATTAAAATTTCAGAATTCAAAATTTCAAAAATATTAAATAAAATTTTTCCAAGTGAATGTTTACACGCACCTAGTGGGACCTTCTTTCTCTAAAATGCTATCTTCCCGAGGGAAGTTCAGATAGATACTATACACTTAAATGCACTGTAAACAAATATTATAAAACCTATACCTTCTAATGGATCTTTTGAAGGATTTTTTGCACAAAGAAGTTGACTGTATCCTACTTGATAACCAGGTGCATCCTCAATTTCAGGAAACGCGTCATCCTCTGGTAATGTAGTTTGATCCTGCGGCAATTCAAAGAATTCTACTAATGTTGCTAATAAACGTGGATAATATGTATTGTATGGCCTTTCTAGCATTGCGGGACAGTCGATCAGTAAATTTGAGATTCCTACTGCAGCTACTTTTCGTTCAATATCACCCGATACTTTTTGCAAGTCTGCTAATAATACACGTTCTATAACCATACCAAACATTCTGTAAATAAGATGAACATTATAATTACCTGAATTAATTTTACTTTTAATTTCGAATGTAAAAGTAACTTACTGAGATTGTATTTGATCTATAATTGTAACCAAATTACTCGCACCATACCTAATGATATAATATGCAAAAAATACAATTAAACCCTTTACAAATTTTGTTGTTTTTGATGATGAGAGTCTTTGAAAAAGTAATACAAAAATTTGTTTCACGTATGGTTCCAAAACATTCCTGAAAATGTTATATTATTGTTAATACAGATAAAAAAAGAGATGATTTGCTTTTACGTGAAAACTTACGGTGCAAAATGTTCAATAATACTTTGTAACAATAAAAAGCCTTCGTGGTCATTAGCTTTTGAAGCAATCAGTTTCTGAAATACACCTAACAAACCATTTGTTTTATCTTGTGCTACTATATGGTGTGCACCATGGCTAATAAAAGCCCTTAATAACCGATTCAATGGATGAATATTAGCATGACGTTCAAAGAGCACAGATGACAGTAAACAAGGGAATAAGGCCAAATATGCTTCTGGCATATCCTGAGTTCGTAATTCCAAAAGCAAGGCAAGAATTTGAAAAACGTATGGTAGAAATTCTGAAAACGTCATCCATTAAAAGACTGATGAAATTCTTGTAGCCTTCGAAAAACGTGATAGTTGGATATAGGATCACTTTTACCCATAATTATGTCATCATAATTATATACAAAATTAAAAATATATTTAAGTATAACAAAGCATGTAGAAACTTCGGGTCAGGTTGAAAAAAAATCGGGTAGAATAGGACATGAATTCTGTTACCCCCTACCGCCCTAATGGACTGGTCCCCGCACTATCTAAAAATTCTAAGATCTCACAATTTCAGGTTTTTAAAATATCATATTTTCAAAATTTCAGATTTTTAAAACTCCAGAATTTCAAAATTTTAGATTTCTGCGACTGAACCCGAGTTTCGACATATCCTTAATATACATATACACAACAAAAAAAGTACATACCGGGTCAAAATGACCCTGTATTCAGCGTGCGAGAATTAATACAATACTATACCTAGAACATCTTGCTGCAAAATTTCTTGGAAAATTGGAAACAATGCTTCTTCAAACGATGAAACCGCTACCTTATGAGTTTTACATACGATCCTAAAATCGTATAAGAAACGTATAACTTTTATTATTGATATCATTATTTTTTGTTTGTTTAATACTTACTTAATGGATAATGCAAATGTTTCAAAGAGAAAATGATTGAAATTAGGACGACTCGGATTTTTAGATACAATGGCAAGTTTTTCTGTAAGTTTCGGTAAAAGATCGGCTAAAAATGGCACAACAATTTCTTGTAAAACACCAAAACTTCTCATAATAGCTTTCATGACGTATTCGTTCTCTTCTGAACCAGGCATGTTTAAACATGCAAACAGACCTTTTAAGAGATCTGCTGTTAGCGGAGATAAATCAGTTCCTTTAACTCTACAAAAGAATTTTACAATTCAAGCAATGTGCACAACAATACGGTTGTAACATTTTTAAATAAACCATTTGTTTTCTTACAAATACAAATTATCAGGTCCTTTCATTGCAAGTATTCTTTCAATTGCACAAGCAGCGTATGTGTGAACAACAATATTCGTAGCACTCAAGTGCCTAATTAGTTGCGGTAAACTTCCAAGTATCATTTCTCTCGGTAATACTGATCTAAAGGTCATTATAAACTTAATTGCATCGGCTTTAAGTACAGGGAATTCGTTCACTGAAATGCAACGTTTAAAGTTATGATTCTATAAATTTAATTCCACTTTTTAACAAATTTACGTACCATTTGGTTTTACTAATTCTGGTTCAATATGCTGCATTGCAAATTGAGGTAATGGAACAAGTTCGCTACTTTGTGTAACGCCGTGTTTTTGCGTCTGAGCTTTACTTGCACTACTAGTGACTAGATAAATTGCAGCATCCTTGCTTCGCCAATTTTCAGTAGGCTTTTCCGCATAATTTTGTAACATTACCTAAAACCGATAAACGGAATATGACGACATATACATATGGTTTATATAATTTGATTTATTTACCTGAATGTAGGCACCAAAAATTTCCATTATTTTTGCTTCAAAATATTTAGAAAGCACTTTAACTAAATCACAGGCAGCGCGTCTTCTTGTATCTACATCGCTGCCTTCAATATCTCGCCTAATGTATTCTTCAGGATTATCCTCAAATAATTCATTATCCGATTCTGTTAATTATTAAACCGTTTTTATTATAAGCCGATAATAACGTATGTTTATTGAAACTGTACGTGCGTTAAATACATATATCATTTGCAGTGATTACCTCTAAATTTCATATTCGGAATTATAACCTTTTCACATATACAACTTAAAGTACCTGGATCCACAAACAAATATCTGTACTGACCACGATCTGCCACTGTTGCTAAAAATTGTAAAGCGTTCGAAACTAACTGCAAAAATATAGTTTTATTAGAATCAAATTTATTTAAATACGTATAATTTTCTCTTATATTTACGTACAGTATCATATTTTGGTTGTTGCCCTGTAGACGTAAGTAGATTCCAAACTGCAGTTACAAATTGAGGTAAATACGGTTGAAATTCTTCGTCGTATTTCTGAGCATAAAGGCCAATATTGTCACAGACTTGTGATTTTAGTTGTTCGATTACTTCTGGCTCCTCATCATCCTATACATACATCAAACATTATAATGCAAAAATATTATTACATAAAACGAGTATAAGAACAGATTTATATGTAAATATACAGAAGATTGTAGAGATGGTACATCTGTATTCAACAGGGTATGAAAATTTCTCATCCACACCGCCATATTGTCTTCAAAAAATTCTGGTAAATCCTAGAATAAAAAATATTGTTCATTTTTTTTTAACATAATACTTTCTTATATTACTTTATTAGTTATTTTACTTACTTGAAAGTTAAGAGAATAGAACACTTTAGATAAAATTACCAAAGAACTATATATAACTTTTAATGCTTCTACATTGTTCGCATGTACTTGTGTTAAATTCATTGTAGCCTACAATATATAATTTAGCAATTGAAAGAAGCAGTTAATATGCTATATTGTGTAAAAAATTGAATAAACAAATTCTTACAACAAACAAATCTGTTAAAGGTTTAGCAAATCTGTCCAATACAAATTTTATTTCGGTCCACAGACTTTGACTTTTAAATTCATATCTATATTTTTTAAATAAAGAATGTGCAGTATGTAAAACGCCATTAATAACATGAAAATCCCCTGTATTGAATTTTTCAACCATTTGGTCTATAAGCTCTGGCCACTTATTTGGAAAATCATATTTTCCAATAATTGAAACAGCATCGGACAACTGTTTCTGAATAGAATCAGGAGAATGCAACATTAAATTAACGATTAATTTTTTTATAGTTTCTCTGTCTTGGGCATGAATACGATCAACAGAATCTTCTTCCTAATACAAATGAAATCAAATTGCATGAATTCAAGTACTTAGATCATTTAATAAAGAATTCGATAAGAGCTACAACATAAGTAATTACCACTTTCCAGTTACGTTTGACATAGTTTTTAAATGCAACTGCACCAGCAATTCTGATGGTTATGTTGATTTCAGATTTGTCCACAAGATGTAGAAGAAGTAATGGATAATTTTGATTCACTTCAACAGATTCTAGAAATTTCTCAGCTAAAACAAACAAACAAAAATAATTAATAATTTTATTTCTTAATTTATCATACAGGATGTAATGAATTAAAATTTGTATAGCACATATTTATGTAATATCCATAAAAAATAGAATACTTTAGTAATTGCTTTATTATTGCTACCACAGAATGTCACTTTTCTGAACTTTTTTATATTCTTTCGTAAATTCAATTAATAAATATCTGTCTTTAAAATAATTGTTATTAGAAATTAACTTGGTTTGTTAAATACTTAAAGAAAAGGATTGAAGTACTTCTTGACACTCGCAAGTAAAATTCTTTTGTAAAGCGAATCTGTTAAAATTCAAACCGTGATTTGTTTACATGTTTAATTACAAAAAATGACGACAAAAGCACTTTTGTAAATTAGAATACCTAAATGTTCAGAATCATATGAAAAATTTAATGTTATTTTCAATAATTCATATAGAACATAGAGGTTAAATATTCACCTGGTCGCCTTTCATTTACGTCTGGACTAAGTGTATGCTTTAAATATTCACTAAGCGTAAGCAAATTATCATCCGTCAGTTCCATATCGGCTTAACTTAAAAATTCTTCCTTTTCCTCAAAGTGAAAAAATATTAAATCTTCAGAAAAGAATCTCGAAACAACGCAGTACATATACACCGGCTTTTGATAACTTAAATTTTCTAACCAATGCTCACCGTCGGTTGGCGCTTCCTGACATGCTTTGCGCGGGAAAATTATACATTAAAATAAAACGTGCTTGTTATATTCTCGTCAATTCTTCAAATTATACAAATAAAGACAATAAATCTACAATTATAAAAACAAATTGTTGTGGCTCTTTGTATTTTATTTTGTACATACTTATAGTCAAATCAAGTAAATAAATGTTTTGAACGCTGCACATAAAAAATATAAAAAGTGATTATTTTACCTAATAGCGAAATTTAAATTTAATACATTTCTTGAAACCAAAACTTTATATAAACTGAATATATTTTTAATCCTTTTCTCTTATCTCAGCGTTTTTTATAATAGCTTAACATTAACAAAAATTGTAATTTACATATGTACTGCAAGTAGTAGTAATAATAAGATATAATAATGAGATAAATTATTTATTAAAAAAATTAGCCAACATTTTCTTCTGTTTTATTTCATTTTTCAATCCTTTCAACATATCTTGCGCAGATTTAATCTTCAATAATTTAATATTATTATTTTCCCTATATTAATAAATAAAAACAAAATAATTAGTAAAAGATACTTAAAGTGCTAGTTATAAACATAAAATATTTAACAAATTTTCTTTTTGATATTTTTATACTTACCTTACATCAATCAAAACAGCATTAATTTTTAATATTTCATCATTCTCTTCGGCTAAGCTTAAACAATTGAAACCACAGTCTATTTCGAGTTTTGTTAATTTGTTTTTAAGTTCTAGCAATTCCTTATTTGTTTTTTCATATTCATCGCAATATTGTTTGATATCTTTCGTTAAAATATCTACTGACTAGAAAACACGTGTAAATTTCCTTTTCACAAATTTTTTCTCCAGGTATTTTAAATGATGTGTAAACTTACATATTCCTTTTGCGCGCGCAAAAAATTATCAGTGAATTTTGTACTTTTGATTCGGAAATTGTCACTAGAAAAATCGTGGTTTTTATAAAAATGAATTTATATTAATTTTTAATTAATATTAAATAAAGAAATTGTATATGAGAGACCATTGTTCAGAGAAATATATTCCTCTTTTTGCAATCAAATTTTTCAATTCCTGTTCTTTAAAGTCTGTTAGTTTGGTAGACTCGATAATACTTGTTCGCAGACGAGCTTCGTTTTCCTGCAGTTTTGTGTATTTGATTTGTCCTGACCAAATATTTATCGATAAAGTAGAATAGTGTAATTCCCAATAGTACCGGCTCGTTTTATATTTATTAATCATTTTTTTCAACTCTGTATACTTGAAAATACATAATCATAATCGTGTAACTAAGTATATATTCGTTTAAATATATTTAACTTGGAATAATATAGAAAAGGATATAAACTTCAAATAAAATTATTACTTCTTTGATCAAACAGTTAATTCGATCGGCTTGATTGTCAGAAACTTCTTCCACGTTTACCGAGAATTCAGCCATTTTTCTTCGTACTACCTATATTAATAAAATCGGTACTTTTTTAGCGGCGAAGTGTCTAATATGATTTTTGAATTTTTACCTATGGATATATGGTTTATAGATAAGCGAGGCGCATAAAAATTTAGTTAGAGTCAGTGATGCGCTTTCAGGGTTGGGCACGTATTATATGTGAGATATTATACATACAATGTATTATACATGGTGTTCTACAGTATATTACGCTACTTAGTTTTATATATATTATACTCCAGGTGTTTAGGCAATATAGGGAGCGCTTGCCCCCTGAAGCGCCATCTTGGGCAGAGCCCAAGAAAACTAAAATATATACATTTGTACTTACATACATACTCCAAGTGGCGCCATCTTTACATAACGTTATGTATGTACTATAGATACCAAACAGACGTAGTTATCCATAGATCTTTATTTACGATATTTATTATTAAAATCAGGGAGTTTCGCAGTTATATCTCACCCTCTAGTTAAAATAAGCCATGAAACGAAGTTTTAGCGGCAGGCCTCGCCATAAATGTTGGGAAAATGAAAATTTTCTACCAATATAAGAGAAAGGGAAAACAGTTGCGTATTGTTGTTTTTGCGAACATGTCTTGATTCAAAATTAATAATAATAATAATAATAATAATAATAATAATAAAATATATTTCATATTTTCTCTTATTATTAACAAATTTCATTATATCTAAATATAATCCAATTGTAAGTATATTTTATGTAACATACTGTCAGTAAATATTCTCAAAAAATCATTTTTCCAATAATGAACAATGATTACTTACACAAGTATTTTTATCAGTAGAGGAGTTCATTTTTTGGGGACTATATTCTGTATTCTGTAACATAAATACATCTTTTTAGATAAATTAAGGCTATCCTGTGATTATTTCTTTATTTTGAGTTTAACCACAAACGGCACAAATCTGGTTATACGTTTTATACATTTTTAACGTATCTTACCGTAAAATACTGTAAAATGTAAAAAACCCTAGAAAATGCTCGGATGACCCAACCCTGTGCACTTTCGTGGGATTTTTTCTCACTAAGGAGCTGCGTGAATGACATCACCGACGAGAGAGACAATCTCTCGTCGCGTCGGTGGTGACATTACAGGTAGCTATAAGTTTGTATATTACATGCCATAGCTGTGTATATACAGGGTGTCCCAAAAAGAGTGTAAGCCGCAAGGCTTTGAATTTTCGCGAAGGAAAATGTTGTTTAAAGCTTCGTTTTTAAATTATTAAGGAAAAACGCTAACCAATCTTAGCGCGCATAGCGCGCGGGTTCAGGGTCGGCGCGGTAGCGTCGGCTACGAAAGCCGGGCTTCACCTAACGATAAGTCCCGAACGAACAACTCGGTATGTACCCCGCTAGTAGATACATTTACACTCATGAAAGTGACTCGCGTAGTTTTTTACGTACTTTCTGCAGTTCCTCTTATACTTGCCACAAATGTTGGTATACGTATAATAAATTAGCTGCAAACGTACAAAATAGCAATACATTTTATTAATGTTATTTATATAGTATCCTATTTTATTAAATACAAGCTTTCTCCTCTCCTTGAAACTTTCTCTATGTATCTTCCTAATCTGGGACCCAATGATACTTTCATATTTGAAGAACACAGATATGTATATAAGTATGTGTGGATGTACTTACATAAGTCCTTGAGTGTCCACCGATGACAAGAAATCTCGCGGGATGGCACAGGGGCAAGAGAGGATACAACGCACACATCGACTAACCCCCTACTTTTGCACGAGCCTAATTAGTGATATAACCACCTCGACCAATCAGACTGTGTTATTCTCGTAGGACTTCTTGTGATCGGTGGAAAAAACATATAGAGGAACTCTAACTAAAACTTTGAAATTTAGCAATTTCGGAAAGTGTAAAATTTGAGTCTCAAAATTTTGGAGTTGTTTATTCTAAAATTAAAAAATGCAGATTTAGAAATTAAAAGATTTCAATTTTCGTACATAAAATCTGCATTTTCAAAATTTTATATCTTGAAATTTGAATTTTGAAACTATGAAACTTTTAAATTTGAATTTTGACATTTTAGTTAACTTTGAAACTTGCAAATTTTGAAACTTTTAGAATTTAAATTTCGACATTTTAAAACTTTGCATTGTGAGATATTTCATTCTGAGACTTAAAAATTAGAATTTTGAAATTTTGAAATCTGAAATTCGAAATTTGAATTTTGAAGCTTTCATATTTAATGTACATGTTACATTTTACACTATTCAGAAACTAAAAATTATATTCATTTTTATTTAACTTTGATTAAAAGTTTAAATTGGAATTTTGATGGGACTTCTACATCGCCATTTTCTCTAGGGAGACTTATCGCGCTTAGTGACCGTATACATCGTTTTATTTAAAACTTAAATACAAATAAAGTAACAAATGTTAGTCAATAAGAAAATTTATGAAACTTTTAATATTTAAAGAACAGAATGTTTCTAATACTATTGAAAAAATGTAAATCGCGGTATTGTACCAAACTTGTCAAACAATTGAATAATGTTCCGTCGTGCAGTCATTAATTAAACCACCTACGTCATCAATCGAATACCATTTATGAACATGTAATTAAATATTATTCCGAGCACAGAGTGTGTGTAATTTAGAATTTTAATTTATGTACACAATGAATCGTAAGCGACTGATCATTTACGGGTTTAAAAATTATTTTTAACTTTCGTTACAATGTCTGGAAAGTTATTTCGATTAATTAAATTTCCTGTTTATTATTATAATAATCGATATTAAAATGTTTCTTTAAATAATACATGATAAGCGATATACATATTTATGGCCGGATAATAGATATTTAAATTTAAATCATAAATAAATCAACTATAAACGTGTTTAGGAAACATTTATTAGAATGAATTTTAAATATCATTAAACATTATTAAACATATATTAAACATTAATTATAATGTTAATTATAGTATAACGATTAATGAAGTCTTACAATTTATAATATTTTTCCTAAAACGTGTAGTTTAAAGAAAAAGTTAATGGTTCTTATCACAATGCTATGAAATGGAATTAAAATTGATTTTACTAACGATTTCATTAATATACAATTGAAAAAAAATTAAAAATTAAATGTAATTTCGAAAATTTTCTCCGGCAGCAGATTCAAATTCGCGCCTAAGAAACCACTCTTTATTACAATCTATCTGCTTTATGGATAATTTATTTAAAAGAAACTTTTGCAATAGAGTACACTCGCGATCAAATCAGGCTTCTCCAGAGAGACTAGTAGTTCCTGCCCATATCCGAACTCCCGGCTTTCCCCTTAGGCGTTCCTGAGAAGAATGACAATGTAGGGGAGGAAGGCCCAGATATATAGGTTTGCGATCTCCCACCGCTTGCGTATAAACATTTACGTAGGAAAATTTAAATTTAAATCACTTTTAATATTAATATGGACAATATAAGAATTGTGAGAATTCTTGTTTCCCCTATATCACCATTTTCTCTAGGGAAGCCTGATCTGATCGCAAATGTACATACATAAGGCTTATCACAATTTTAACCTTGAATATCTTTTAAACTATTGTTTGCCTACACCTAAAAGCATATATAAAGAAATTTATAATAGTACAATCCACTAATATGCTAAAGTTTATTACGATCTGATTGAGTCATATGTAAAGCTCTCCTTGTAAGCTATGTCTGAAAATGATGTGTGAGTGAATGTTTAAAACGCGTCGGCGGTGTTTCGTAGTCGTGAAGCAGTCGTCGCGCGAACTGTGTCCACGCAGGTTTCCCGTTACGTCCGTCGGTATCTAAGAGAATTTCAATCAGTTCGAGTGGATAAAATCAAACCTGAAGAACGTACCTTTTCATGCATCGAATGAAAAGTGAAAATATGTCATACTGTCGCATTAATCGGTTGTTTTGTTCGACTAAAACTTTGTAATTAACGGTGAGTCACGAGCTATTCATTTTATTATATGTTGTTTCATCAATCATAGTATTGTAAGGTAAGTAACTTTTCACGCTTACAACAAAAATATAATCTTTTATTTCATGGAATGGATTTACACGATCAAATTGTGCGGTAATTTAATAACCCTTGAACAGCGGAGTTTGGCTCAATTGGGACCCAAACTTACAAAACATATACAAAGATATTAACCTAAAGTTGAATGTATAATTTTTAAACAAAAGAGTTTCATATTATATTGGAAGAATAATTTTTAAAGGAACAGCGTAAAATTTAGGAAATGAAAATAATATGAAATACAAAAATTAAAATTAGTGATCTCTCCATGATCCGCTGTCTGAGGATTAAATTAAAGAAATTTACCGATTGCATTTTACCGATTTGCAGTGTAAAAGAAAATACGTTAACATTGTTTAAATCGTAATCGAGCGATCAATTATTTAACATTGTTTTTCGTTGAATACGAAACGTTATATTTAATAAAATTATTTTCTCTATCTTGACTTATATCGAAGTGAAGTCTTACTTCCTTATTAATTGCGATGTGATTTTCATCTTATCTTGTAAATTATCATATAATTTTTATTATTTTTATCTTTTTAAAGTTTATTAAAGTCTATTAAAGTTTATCTAAATAAACTTTTGTCAATGTAATAATAAAAATTAATGTAATAAATGAACGCGATGGGTTTATCGAGTTACTTAAAAGTTCTTAAATATTTTAAGATATTATCGTAATTGAAAGAGTTTCATTAAAATGACCGATCTTCAGATGTATGATCACGCTGTGATAACGTTATCATTCTTTATCAACACAAAAAATCAGCCGCATAGCGACTTATTATAGTACCATCTTGGGCCTCCATTTTCTCGCGCAAAATATTCGCAGAGAAAATGGAACACTGATTGTTGAAATTATTTCAGTTCTTGATAGAAGTGTATCTTTGAAAGGATACTTTTCTGTACCGCGGTAAGAATGAAACTTCTATCAAACAGGATGAGGGATTGATAACAAACCGCGAGCATTTGTTAATCCCCTACCGTTTCATGACAACTTACCACAATACTTATACATTTCAGGCAATAATAAGAACTGTACAATCATTTTTTATCTTATAAGAAAAGTACATTCGCCGAAAGGACTATCAAAATAAGATAAAAAATATTGTAAAGATAAAGGTTATCGGTTTAGCACGATTTGCTGACAAACTAAGCCTTGAACGTACGCTATTATTGAAATGCATCTTTTACGTAAGCATAAGCATTTAAATGATCGAGTCGCGTGGAGGATATAATGTTTCGTATCTAAGTACACAGTTTTTAATTACGTTCTTCAGAAGGCCTAACACGAATACACAGGTTCACGAACAACCAGATTATGTCATCGCTACTTCATTCGTATGTTAGCAACCTATTTATGTACATAAAAGTCTTGTATCATTGCGCGGGAGAAAGGTAAATAATTATGAGGCGTCAAAGAGACGGTTAGGTTACACCGATAAAAACTCTTCAATGACGCTCCTTTTTTATCGATTTGGTTCATTGAATATGATAGAATAATAGCAGATACATATATGTATGTATATGTAAATTGTGATGAACTTATATGACCTGATATTTATTGTTCTATTTTTTGAACAATAATAAATTTTGTGAAAGATTTAAAGGTTCAAAGATTCAAATTGTAACGTTTACAGTAATTTATATAAGATTAGTCTTTAAATAAAAATTAACTGAATCATAGTTTCTAGTGCTTAAAACATTACCTTTCTTGTGTGTCAAGGATTTGGACACAGATCACTTTTCATGGATGCACAACTACACTGCATGTAACCTCAATAACAATATTTACATACATCAAATGCCTCCACATTCTTTTTTTTTTTTTAAATATTGTTAACATGTATATAAGTACAATATAGTTCAATTATTAATATAATTAAATATAGATATCTGTGAATTTTAAATTATGACAAACGAGAACGATGCACTAACGAAATTTAATTATTGTATTTCCGAAATTGGTGTAAAGAAAAATGGAATGCGGAAGGAAGGGCGTGGTTAGAATTATTTGATGCGAAGCGTGTTGAAGGCACACCCTCAATCTATCTACGCGTACTACCCACTTTTTCGTCTCACTGTAACTCTTTTATTTCCTGTATCATGGACCTGTTATTCTCCAGTATTACTCAAAACCACCGCGTAAATCATCAATATTTTGTCATTTAAATCACGTAACGATATTTTTCATAAGCAAAAACTGTTAATTAATAAATTCATTGTAATGATTATAAGTTACTGAATTTTAATTAGATTATAATTAAAATAATATTCCATTTTCTTCAGAAAACGTGGTAACACGTATGAAGGTAATTGACAGGAAAGTATGATGATCTCAGTTTTATGGGGTCGAGCAGTTTCACAAATTAGGAAACATAATTCCATCATTTTAATTAAACAATTGTCCACCGTTGCGATGCAGTGAATCAGGCACGAAGTATTCTACAGTCACCGTTTCAACCGCATTGATATAAATGATGATTTAAATTATTTCGAACACATCTAGTTTATTATCTTTTTGGGATACTTGTTCTTTTCAGCTTTTTTATCTCAAACTCGAGTACTTGTAGTTTTTTAGGTTACTACATTACTATTTAAATATTGAATAAATATTAGCTTGTTGTATTAATATATTGTTAATAACATAATTAACTTATAAAAAACTAAACTCGCTAAATCGTCGGCAAATTTGGAAATATTTATTTATGTGCAGATCAACATATGCATATCAATAAGTCTTATGGATATGAAATATCACAGCACTATCAATCTCTTCCCTTTCTCAACAGCCGAATAATGTAGCGGATAATGGAGTTGACCGGATGACAAATAGATAACTAGCAACACTTACTGTTGATAAGAAACGCCATCAAATTGAGCGGGAAGTTGAGAGTAAATTGCTTTGGGCTCGTGATCACTGAATTCTCATTTTTATAAGACATGTGCAATAACAATAAAGGTAAATAAATATAATATAATAAATGCATAATATGTATAATTTAAATTTAAAACAATTTTCTATTGTTTAAAGTTAACACTATTTAATGGTTAACCCTTGAACAACGGAGCCTGGATACGTATAAAAGGATATTAATCTAAAGTTAAATGTATAACTTTTAAACCAAAGGGTTTAATATATTAGAAGGATAATTTTAAAAGAACAGTGTCGAATTTAGAAAATGCAAATAATGTGAAATACAAAATTAAATTAAAATTGTGGCTCTCTCCGTGGTCCGCCGTCCGAGGGTTAAAGGTATTAGATGTACAAATTAATTTGGTGTCTTTTCTTTCTTAATTGAAGATTTATTTTTAACAAGTCGTAGTAATTTCAACTACGTGTTTAAATATATAGCCTAACCTAACTTAAATACATCAATAATAATTACACGTACATACATGTACATCTGAGGAAAAAATACTATTATTGTTCATAACAGCCAAAATATAAGGGTTTACGTAAAAAATGTGTATAACCTTCTTTGTAGAGCTTTTTATGAGCTTCATTGTTTGTTTTAAACTTTTTTCTCTAAAATCAATATTTTCAGAGATGTTTAGTAAGAACTGTCAAAACTTTAAAGGGGGCTGGGGGGCAAACGAGGCTTTGTCGCCAAAAATCCTTTTAGGGACTTTCTTGATAATTATTTAAAAGTTTGCCCTCCTCCGATTTTCGTGACCTTGAAATATATTATCAAGGTCATCATTCTGAACAACTTTTCCCTATACATGTTACATAGTTTCCGAGATAAGGATGTACATCTGTCTAGTTTTTTAAAACCATAAATGGTTCGTTATCCTTAAGATTTGGCAGATGTACATCCTTGTCTTTCCACATGACTCTTTCGGCGGACGCTGACCTCGGATACTAGAGAATGAACTAAATACCTGCTCAGCTATCAGCTGTTCGAAAACAAAACACGCACTTTGGAAGTTGATATCCCAATTTTCAATTGCTTATATCTTATATGCTTCAAATTGTATCGATCTGGTGTTGCCGTGTTTGTTCATGATTGCCGTTTGAACGTAATCAATAGCCAACACTCTTGCGGGTTCAGCCCGCGCTCTCCCCAAAACGAAGTTTTAACCAACATTTTGGCAAAGGAAAAAGTTGTTTAGAATCACCTTGGCAATAATACCTTCACAGGATTCGACCCAGTTCTGGGACACCCTGTATTAGCTTCGATATAATGTTGTTGACATTATATCGGTAACAAAATCGTACCGGTTCTAAATCCCTGGAAATAATAGCGTGTATACACTTGAACCAGACATACTGTATATAAAATCAATTCTTTTTTTCATTTTCGAAAATGAAAGGTATGTATTTTTAACTTCTGTGTAGTATTATAAAAGTTCTAAGGTTAAAGTATTATTTATTGAAATTACAAAACAAAATCTGATCTTTATTCATATATTCGATAAATATTGATCAATAGAGAAAGATTTAGAAATTTTGTAGCGAAAGTCTGTATAGTGGAAAAAAAAAAAATACTAATCGAATTGAGTACCCTCCTCCTTTTCGAAGTCGGATAAAAAAGAGAGGAATGACATTGGTGATTCAAGATATAGAGTGATGAAGGTATGCAATTCAAAAAGGTACGAACACAGCATATGTGATGCGGACGACACATTATAGAATGAAATAAATTACATATACACATATTTATATGCATAACATAAACCATCAAATTTTAGTGATTTTAACAGGAAAGATATTGTTTCTCATATCAATTGAAACTGTTTATGTACATTGTACTCATTATTACACGATTTATTTTTTTAATTACAAATTTAATATTAAAAGTACATTATAAAATGAATTCATTGAATTTAAAAATTTGTTTAATATTGTACATACTTTATTTGAAAAATGTGTGTTAAAATTTTGAAATTGAAAATAAATAATATTTTAATGTTTAATTTTATAAATAGATAATTTTTTTAAAAAATATGTCATTTCATATAAACCAAAAAATTCAATGTGTTATCACAAGTGTTTTTTTTTTTATTTATTAGAACTAATAATGATGGGATGGTAATATATTATTTATAAACTATATTTATATAATTGATAAAAACATAAAAACTTTAGATTTTAATTAATTTACCATACAGCAAACAATGACAAAGCCAGCCTTGATGTTCACTTGCCGGATGTATGTATAGTGCACCGATGACAAAATGTCCCATGAGACAAATGCAAATGCGTGCATCTCATGGGATATCTTGTCATCGGTGCACAGTACTTACTTACCTATTACCTTCATTGACAAAAAAGGCATAAAAATTACAAACTTATTGCAAGCTTTATTTATTTGATATCTTAATAGAATTAATCCTATATGTATTTACTATTCAGAAGTGAAAATTCATTAAAATAAAATAAATATTTGAATAACTACGTACATATCTATGTACTTATATAATAAAAGTTGTTTGTTTTTATATTTGAAGGACTCAGTGGGAAAAAGGCAGATGCCACAATATTATAAAATTTACATGAAAAAAAATTTAAATAAAGCTTGTTGATGGTACAAAAAACTAAAAATCAACGTAAGCCCGAAATATGCCCCCTTTCCATTGAGCTTCTCATTTATAAAAATACATTGCAAACTAAAACAAATGAAATTACTTTTATTATTTTCAGAAAATAAAAAAACACTTTCCCGACATAGACCAATTAAAGTCACTACAATTGGTGATGGTACAGTAGGAAAAACATGTATGCTTATTACATACACAACAAATGAATTTCCTTCCGAGTATGTACCTACTGTGTAAGTATTATATTAATCAAGGATCATAAATTTTATCTTTATATATAATGAAATGTAAAAAATATTTGTAATTCATAAGTTTTAAATAATTTTATACTGTGGTTAAGCAAAATGTTTGTCAAGTACATTCATCTATCCGCCAGCTCGAACGGGTCCACTAGGGATGTGCGGGTACCCGATATTACGGGCTCAGGCGGGCTCGGGCGGGTGTCCGATACATGAGTGCAGTCCGATAGCCCGACTATTTCGAGTTAGGTCGGATAAAGCCGGGCAGACTCGGACGAGTTCCCGCGGGCCGCGGCCCGCGGCCCACGACTCAACTCTCGTGTATGTATGTACATACATACTTGTTAATGCTTGCAATAAGCATGTTCAAAATCTATTTTTTATAAAATGAACATACAGATGACATGGAATGAAATTCATATCAAATAAATTCATTAAAAGTATTATTTTTCCACATAAAAATTATTTTATTCCAAAATTCCACATAAAACAGATTTTGTATATGCCTATTGCAAGTATTAACAAGTATATAAGAATTAGATCGTGGGAGTTCGTCCGAATCTACCCGACTTTATGCGACCTGACCCGAAACAGTCGGGCTACCCGACTGCACGTACTTACATATGTTCGGACACCCGCCCGAGCCCGCCCGATGTTTTCGGAACCAACCCGAATAGTCGGGAACCCGACATATTAATCGGGCCGCACATCGCTAGGGTCCACATGGATCCACACGCTGAATATTAGGCAGAAAAATAGGTATTTTGAGAATTGCTCGGGTTCGTTGGTTCCACTGAAATATTAATCAATGTTTAGCTCAATTATATGAAGAGGTCTATGAAAATCTAATCAAAAACCAAACACCACTGTTAATTACGGATTTCATTACCAAGTCTTTTCGATTTGAAATTGTCACATCAACAATTGAATCAAAATCGCTTCAAATGCTATCGGGTGATGAAAGTAAAATTCCACCAACCAGGAAGAAAAAATTAATAATCTATGATAGAGATAATAGAAATTAAACTTTTGGACTAATTTGTTATTAATTTTATATTTCTAGTTTTTATAAAATCAATTACTGGCTACCGATCACAAGAAGTCCCATGATGAGAATAACGCAATCTGATTATGTTACACGTACTTACTTGCGGTCGTGACGTATGTAATTAGGTTCGTGTAAAACTAGACTGTGTGCGTAGTACCCGCTTTTGCCCCTGTGCCGTCCCAAGAGACTTCTTGTCATCGGTAGACACTACATACATACATATAACTTTAAATGTATTTACTTATGTATGTATATTTATTATTGCATGAATAGACTGACATTTTTTGTTTTCCATTTGCATTTTATTTTTATTTTACGTTGAAATCAACGAAGTTAATTAAATAACTGACTATGTTATGCGCATTTTGGTTCTTTATCGATTTACGCGGAATTGAAAAAGAACCAAAGGAATCGAAGAATCGGTCTTCCGTGCAAATCGGGGGATGTATACAATAGATGTATAAATGTAATTAAAAAGTAAAATCATATATTTAATATTATTTTTGTGAATATGTATCTACATACCTTTATGTTTATACGGTAATAGAATATGATGTTTGTAATCTCTTTTCTTTAGTTTTGATAACTATGCAGGGACAATATATATAGATGGACAAGAATTTGATATGACTTTATGGGACACTGCAGGTCAAGAAGATTATGAGAGAATTAGGCCTTTATCTTACCCAAATGTAAGTTACTTATTCTTTAATAGTATCTTATAACAGTAATTGGTAATTGCGCCCGGAAGGGTAAATGCACATACTGTGCACCGATGACAAGATGTCCCATGAGAAGCACGCATTTGCATTTGTCTCATGGGACATCTTGTCATCGGTGCACTATACAAGTAGTCAATTTCTAAACTCGAAAAATTAAAATTTATACATTTCTGCATTTCCGAATTTTTCTATTCTTTTTGAAAATGTAAAAATTAAAAATTTATAAATTTTCAAATTACCAAAGTTTAAAATTCATAAATTTCCACACCTTACCAACATATATGTATGTGCGCGGCGGTCTGAGTTCTTCAGCGGGCATTTGATCTGCCCATCTCTATTTTATATTATATGTATTTTAACACTTTGCTGACTGGCTATTTCATGCCAAAACTATCCTGTGCAGTCGATCATTTTGCTGCATGGAAACACGAGTATACTCGTGACCAGTCAACAAAGTATTACTATGTATAGAATTTGTAATAAAATTTCAAAATTTCATCAATACATTGTTTAATTTTATTTTCAGACAGATTGCTTTTTGATCTGCTTTTCCGTGAATTCTCATACTTCTTATGAGAATGTTGCAAACAAATGGCATCCAGAAATCAAACATCACTGTCCAAACACACCTATAGTTCTTGTTGGCAAGTATCTTTAATATAGTATTTTATTATTTATAAATTTATTTAATAATTTAAGTTATAATTGTTTGAATGTCTTCTTGATAGGTACTAAAGGAGACCTCAGAAATGTAGAAAATGTGGATACAATTACCCTTAAAGAATGCAAAAAAATGAAAAAGAAAATAAAAGCTTACAAATATGTTGAATGTTCAGCTTTGAAACGTGAAAATTTGGAAGAAGTGTTCGTGGAAGCCATTAGGGCAGTACTGAAAAAACCATCGAATAAACTATGTTGCACGTTTTGAATAATAAATTATGAAACAATATTTATAATAAATTGTAAAAAGCATTAACTTGTAATAATTTTAATATTTAAACAAAACTATCATTCCAAAGATTTTAGAATTCTTCGGTATTTTTTTTAGATTAAAACTAAAAAATGAGAAATGTATTAATGCTTTTTACAGAATTAAGTAAACTTCATTGTATACCTATAAGTAGTATATAGAGCAAATTAATAAAAGGAAATTTATTTTGTTCATCCTACTTTATGTGTTAAACTTTCTGTTTAACATGGTTTCTTTTTGCTAAAAAAAAATAAATAATGATTAGTATAATGTGATAATTATTAAAACAGATATTAAATAACTAATTCTGTCAATTTATTTATTCTTACTTATACTATATACACAACTGTAAAAATTATTAATTGAAATATTATATTAATTATCCTTAAATGCGATTAATTAGATACTATAATGATTTTCTTATACATACAAAACTGTATATAGAAAATTAGTCACATCTGCAAAATCTCAACGTCCAAATGCTCCATCCGAAAGAGGCGTAACTTTCTGTTGTATTATCTTACCATAACCACCCCGTCCACTATCAAAGTCTGATCTATACTCGTCCCTTACCTACAATACAATTGTATTAATAAATTTGATTGTAACATAACACTAGCAACCTTAATGATAAAAATAATGTCATATACTTGTCCTCCAGTTTTTCCTCTTCCATACTGTCTGCCTTCAATAAAACCAGCGTCCCAATCTGTTCTAATAATCCTGTCATCCAAACGCGTTCCATTAATATATCGCATACAATTTTCAGCATCGCCTCTTTGATAATATTCCACAAAACAAAAACCACAAGGAGTCTTTTTATATTTATCTAGGCCCATTATAATTCTCCTAATATCACCACATTTGGAAAATAGTTCATATATTTGTTCTTCTGTAGTGTAAAAAGAGAGATTTCCAACATATAAAGTTGTAGAATTTCTCAATAGCCTGTCCTGTTCAGCCCTTGAACCCTAAAAACAATGTAACGTGTTATACTTACAAAAGAGATATTATAATAGCAAAATATACATACATTGTTATAAACACAACAAAAATTTGCTAATATTAAAATGTTATGTGAAGACTTAAAACACTAAAAAAGGAGATGTGAATATACTGTTCAATTAACCTTAAAATGTTGATCACGATATGAACTTAATTCAACAGAAGGTGAACTTGATGGATTTGTCTTTATTGCTGCCATTTTAATTATTTCTACAAGTATTTACAAAACCGCTTTATCTCTCAAATTTATTACAATTAAAATGAATTTAATTCACTTCTTTTTCCTTATTTCACTTAACCATACTTGTCATTCCTGCGCGTATACAAACATTCTCAAAGCTATAAATGCTCCATCTATCCAGAAAAAAAATATTTATATATAACAAATCGTTGCCGGTAAATTAGTTTTGAAATTGTCAAGTTGAAAACTTATTATTTACATTTTACATATTAAATAATTGTTGATACCAAATTTAAATGTATTTACTTGACATACAAATCGTTAGAATTTCTACAATTTTTTATAACAAAAATTAAAAGAGAATAACAATAGAAAACTAGATATCGAATTTTGGTTGTAAATTATAGCCATTGTTATTATCAAACTTGGATATTACATTGAAAGTTATATTAACTACAAATAAATGTGATCATTATGGTACAATTTCAATGCTTTGAGATTCAACATTTTTTTTCTCGATTCATTTGAACGATAAAAATTAACTATTATTTTATGGAAGAGCATACATACTTTAAACACATTTAAAAATTTTAAACATGAGTGATCAGTTACAAACTTCTAATAATGTGCAAGAAAGTGCAGTGTCTAATTCACAAGCAAGTTCTAGCTGCAGTATTAAAAGAAAATGTTATAAATTATTTTTCAGCTGTTTTAAAAATCCATATAAAGGAAAATCTAAAGAAGGCACTACAAATTATGATTCTAACAATTATGATTATATTGTTGAAAAACTTGTTATTAAACGTGTGCCTTTTATCTTTTCTGGAATACTTACAAATGCATCAGAAATTAGAAATGATAATTTTATTAAAGGTATTCAAAAACCATTAATAAAAATGAATACTTCAGAAACTCAATCAATATTATATTGTTCTGAAGATTTAAATGAAAATACAATACCTGTAGCAATTGTTAATAAATCTATGAAGGTTGATTCAAATACAGTTATATCAAATGAAATAAACAACAAACTTACATTATCTACTAATTACGATGCTAGGATAATCGAACTAATAAATACTTTGACTAGTTTACATCCAGACTTGAAAGAATGCGAAAAATGGATTAAAGATCCTTGTTGTTCAAACATACATACACCTAAAAGTATTTTGGCTAGAAATACTGAACAAATTACTCCAATTAACAATAAAGGTCAGAAACAAAAAATGATTAAACCTGAAACTCGTGTTCCAGAAGTTGTTTTAACAAAAAAAGCAGCTAGCTTTAAAAAGCTCATAATTCATTTTTATTCATTTTTAGAATTTGGAGATGCAAAATCTATAATAAAATCAAAAAATAAGCAGAAAATTTATTATTCAAAACAACGTACATATCTCAATGAATTTCAAGACAATGATAAAGAACCATTTATTCAATCCGATCAAGGTATATTTCATAGCCTTAAAAGTTTAACAACGTTTTTTGACCCAAATCAATTGAATAGAGAAAATTCTAATGAAAAGCTTAAACAAATTAAAAGTAATTCCCAACATAATCAACTTGCTTTGAAAAATGAATCTAAAGTACTAGGTGAAAGTATCATAAATAATAATAATACATTAGATACAGCGTTAAGATGGAAAATTACTGTAAAGCATTTTAAATCCCAATAATATTATTGTTATAATAATTCTCAAGAAACTAACAAATATTTCAATGTTAATTAATTTATTCTTACATGCATTTAAATTAGTCATTTTTATAATAAATTATCATCCATTCTGATAAATAGTTAATTATTATAAGATGTATTTATTAAGTTAAATTGAAGAACTGATACGGATAAAAGCAGGGTCCAAAAGAAAGGTAATGCTAACATTTCATCAGGCATCTGAATTCATACTATTCAACAATTTCAAAACTATACATTAAAAAGTAAATTCTGAATATAAATGATCTTTATAAAAAAAATTAACTGTGAAATATTTTTTCAAGTCAATCACTGTTCATTATGACGAATTTAACAGTAATATTTTTTTCTCAAGTTTTGGAGGTGAAAACAAAAAGTCTTGTACGATACAATTTAATTCTTCCAAGGCCAAATGTGCATGCAAACGCAGCACAGGGTCTTGATCATTATCTCGTAAATATTTCAGCCCGCGATACAGATCTACCAAATCCTTCCCAAGGGTAGTTAATGTATCCTTTCCAATACCTCGAAGTAACAGAGTACTGGTCATAACTGCAGCTCGCCGACATTCAGGTGCTTTATCTGATTTTATAATGCAAGTGATGCAGTACATTACCTAGAAAAAATTTTGAATTAAACCTTATTTTCTAATTTGACTTACATAAACTTAAATAATAGAATATTCTATCATTAGTATAACATGATAAGGACCCAGGTGGGCCAAGTATTCTAAGGCATGGGCATGCTAAGAAGTCGCCAGGGGTCCCAAGGCTTATGTCACATTCTTTAAAAGCTTGTGTTAATTATTTGTGTTTACATTAATTATGTTAATTTTATTGATCATTGGCATTTTTATTCCTATGAGTAAACAGGACCCTATGTGTTGCTTTACCCAGGGACTATAGAGCTGTTAAGACAGCTCTGGGTGGGCTCCGGGTGGGAAACTTGTAAAAAACTTTCAAATTTTTTTGTGAAATGTTTAAACGTACCTCAAGAACAGTATCTCCCAGTCGGAAACCTAGTACTTTACACAATTCTCCTAAACAAGAAAGACTGGAAGAACGTACTAAGGAATCTGGATCGCGTGTAGCGCACAAGAATCCATTTATTAACAGATTTTTATAGACTGATACCATCTCACCTGTCAAATCATGTAAATCAATTAAAATTAGTGCAGAAAAAGAATTAGAGAAGTAAATGATTATGCACCTAAACCTCGCGTTACTTTTACAAGTATTTCTCCTAATTTCATCCTAGTTTCTGCTGTTAATTCTCCTATTGAGATACGTTGAGGCATATCGATGTATTCCTGCACCAATGTTTCTATAACAATCTGTGGATATGCAACAGCAAAAGTACATAATCCATTAATTGCTGTTAGATATATAAATGAATCTTCATGTTTCAAATTTTCCTACAAAATAATAGGAAGCACAATTTATAACGTTGATGATGAAGTTAGATTTAAAACTGATTGCTTTTACCAACTTTAAATAGCTGTAAAATAATTTCTCTTCTGTTAATAGTACACGAGTCCGCATTTTCTATCAATTTTGTAAGAGTCATAAGTCCATGGGCACGAACAGGGAGGAGTGAATCCGTAAGGTCCTTAAGCGCTTCTTCAAACTTATCTGATGATTTATAATCCACTGATAAATCTTGATAATGTTTTTGTTTCAATCGATCTTGAGTCTTAATCAATTCAATTACTTCTTTCGTTAATGACGCCAACTGTTTTGGAATCTTTGAACGAGAAAATTTGTCTAAAGATTCTACAAAACTTTTAAACATTTCCCAATCTAACCCCTGTTTTCTTTCATTTATGATCAGTTTTATTAGCATCAAACCCATACATAAAATTTCACAATCATTTTCTTTCGACATATTACTTGTATATTTGATGTAGCTATTAAATAATGTTTCTACAAAGCAAAATAATTCGTGTGGATGTTCTAATTGTGTTTCTTGCACAGTAGATATATCAGCTAAGTTCGATAAAAGTTTTACAGCAGCCAATTGTTTCCCAATTTCTTCCACTACATCATCCTCTGTTCGTAGTAATTTTTCAGATTTCTTTCTGTATTTCGATAGCATAAGCTGTGCTAAAAACTTTAATAAATAGTGAAATAATTTATTTGATAATTGTTTAGTGGTGGATGTTAAATCCAATAAAGTATCTGCAAATTCTTCGTATTTAAGAGTCTCATCTATTCCCGTAATTTCAATTCCACCTGTTGGCCCAAATTTTGATGCCAAATGCTTTCCAAAATCTTTTGTTGAACCGTGTCCAAGAAAGTCAGCAAATAAATCATCTCTTAATGAGTCTTCATACAAAAGGTGTAATATAAGTTGTTTAATTTTATATTTCAACACGCAAGCACTTTGTCTGACATTGTTATACAAACAAAATAATGGAAGAGCTACTTTCATTAAAAATCTCACAGGTAATTTAGTTTCTATTGTTGTGAAACATTTTGTTAAACTTTCTATACATTTCTCCACTTCGCTCTCACTCTTTGGTACACTATTTGCATTTACGATCAGTGGATCACATATTACATCCATAATATTTTTATCAAAAATCTCCCGATTATATTCATAAAGTGCAGTGATACAACAAATTGCTATTGCTGCTGCATGTTTTACCTGAGTAGATGTTAAAATGTTCAGTAACTGAAACAAATATAGTAAATGTGTGAACTATATAAAAAAAATTATGAAGATGAAATGTAAAAAGTACTTGTGAACATATAGATTCGTAATATTTATCTGAATTTTTTGGAGGTGGTACAACTATTAATCTGGAAACAGTATCCAGTTTATTCCAATGTTCTCCAAGATCCAAGACATCTTCACAAACAGCAGCTACAAGCGAAATAACTCCATTAGGTTGCATAAGTAGCTGCACTAAATGTTGACGAGTTCGAAAACGGAGCCAGGCTGGTGCTTCTGGCACACCGAGAATTACCATCAATTCTCTCATACTCGTAGATACCGGACATTCGCTTAAAAATTTGTTAAACAAACGAGTGAAATATTCTTGATCGTTTTTTAGTTTATTATATAATTCTTCCGTCATTTCGAATTCCGTTTCACTTGTATTTTTCTGTTTGCTTGATTCAGATGTTTTAGGTTTCATCAATGGAGCATAACACACTTGTAAAAGCGCAGCCAGTAGAGGACCTATCTGTGCAAGTATTGCTGGACGAAACGTAAGGTCATTGTACAATTCCATGAGAGAACGAACTGAGAATTGTAGTCTTTCATATTTCTGAAAGAAGAAAATCACACTATTCTTATGATTTCTTCTTTTCATGTTTAATAAATGTAAGACTCTTCATACATGTGAAACTGATAATTTTTCTTCAGGTAGCTGTGTAACTCTAGGACATAATTTAGCCATATTGATTCCAACACCAGGTAAAAGTCCAGGAAAAATTCCCATTGCAGTTATCAATTCAATAGAAACTTTTAAAGCTTTAAATTGTTTAACACTAAATAAGGATTCATCATTTACAGAATTGGATGCTTTTATATTTAGTAACTCATGAATAATTGTCCATACATATTGATACCTAAACATACAGAAAATATTAACTTTTATAAGCCTTTCTATGTTAAGTTACCTAATAGTTTAACTGAATAGTTAAACAGAATAATCTTGTTCATCAGATGTTAATTCCATCTGATATTTGCCATTTTGAAACATAAACGCTTTGCTTTGGGCATTTATAGTTGCTCTTAGTATATAGTGATCCTTTTGTAGAGAACAACTATCGTCAATCTTAGCAACAAAAAGATTAATCTTGATTTGTAAAACATTTATAATATTACCTAATACTGTTTGTTATAAATTTTGTGTCATGTTGTGTTAACATTGGTTGTACTTTTTGTAAAATTTGTTGCAATCTAGTATTAAAATCTTCAGCTCCTTCTGTAAAACATAAAATTTTATTAAAAATTTCATAATATTACAATTATTTACACATGACAAGAAACCATACCATCGTCACTTTTATCAATTGTTGTCAACTGAAATAATACTTCATAGTGATCCATATTTTTCCTTCTAATCCTGAATATGATAAGTAAACAACTAATTAATTCTTTCTTAGTCAAAAACTAAATAAATACAATTATAGGCCCATATTCATAGTCGTAACTTATTTCTAAACTGGTGATGTGAGCGTCGAGGCCGAACTTCGATTTCCGCGTCGGTAAAACAGTCAACGTTTCGACGAAAATTAGGCCGAACAAAAACTGATTTCAGCGCTACCTCAATTATTGCATCCAACTAACGGCATGCTATTCTACGTCACTTTTCGTATACACCTAAATGACACACAGATGTTATGATGGCTATGATGCTACATGACCTAGGAAATGTATGAATGATCTAACTCCTTCAGCCAAATATTATATATATATACATTTCTTGTAATATGTATAACATAACCAAGGGAAGAATATTCCTACAAATCGAATGCCGGTTAGTTTATCCATCTAAAGGAAATCGTGAATGGAGGTACCCATGTAAGTAAGTATTTCGTCAGTACACAGGATAAGGAATAGGGGAATAAATGACAACAACATAAGTAGCGGAAAATATTATATAACAATAAAAAAGTGAAAAATATATACAAAAAAATATAATTAAAAAATATGAAAGAAAATAATAATAATAATAATAATAATAATAATAATAATAATGTCGCAATCGTTTAGTGGCGGGCGGAGGGGGTTTCATCACTCCGGACGCCTTGAGTTCAGGCCGGAGACCGCTAGGTGGCGGCGAGGTGAACGGTCTCTCGCAAGCGCTCACCCGGCATGCGGTACGAATAAATACAAGTTTCGAAGCGCGGTATCATAGATGCGTGGAGCATGGATCGTCTGTTGTCAGCCCCACTGCCAAGTCTGTGACAGACGATTCCGAGACGAGAGGAGAAACATCTGTTTGTTTTCTCGACTCTACAATAATTAAGAATAATAATAAACATTATAAATAATATTGTAAGACCCCCCCGCAAACTGCGGCGCAGACTTTCTATCGGCCGGATAGGTTTGGTTCTGGTTCTCTTTTTTAAATCAGTATGAAGGTGTATGCAAATGCGCATATTACAACGATTCCGGTATCGGTCGATAAAAATAAGTTTGGATGGGCTTTTACACGATTGCATTCAGACTAAAAAACTATCATCCACCACCTCTCTTTCCACCCTATTTCTTCTTTCACCAACCCGAGTACACCAGGATTGCTTCGTAATAAGCAACACGCGCTCGGGTCTGGCCTGTTGCTTATTACGGATCAGGTGGGCTATTCGGGACGATAGAGAAAACGAGTGAGAGTTTTGTTAGTTAACACAAGGATGTGTTGTTATTTTTTAAACAAGGATAGAATATAGCATGCCCTCTCATTCTCGCACTATTTCGCTTATTTCAAGGCAAATGTGCTAGACTGAGAAAGTACATACAAGATGAGGTAAATATATACCCTAACGGTTGCTTCCAACTTTCTTTCATGCCTCTAGCCATTATGACAGTAACATAGTTTGCCGGACTACTACTTCGCAAAATGCCGTCGTCTTCAAATCCGATAACTAAATCGTAACCGTAATCGTAATATACGTTACACTTAAGTGACATTTCGTCAACACATATTGAACAATATTTATCTGATTCATGCATTCATGCAATAATTCATGCAATAATTATTACTTTTTTGTTTCTGAGGACCTGACAGGGACCTATATATCGGTGCATCCCATATATGTCTGAATTCTTTACATCCCTGCATCTCTTACATCTTTACATCTCTGCATCTCTTACATCTTTACATCCCTTACATCCCTGAATTCTTTACATCCCTTACATCCCTGAATTCTTTACATCTCTCCATCCCTGAATTCTTTACATCTTTCCATCCCTTACATCCTTGAATTTTTTGTATCTTTGCATTCTTTACATGTCTATATCCCTTACATCCTTACATCTTTTACATTCCCGTATCCCTTACATCACTGGATCTCTTTCATCCCTGCATCTCCCGTATCATTGCAACCCTTATAATAAATATATTATAACAACTGGTTCTAGTAAAGCTAAATAAAGGTAAGTAAAGGTAAGTAAAGGTAAGTACAGTCTCATGACACCGCAACATTGTTGCAAATCCAGAAAACGCCCCAGCAATTTTGTACAAATTTAGTTCCTTTTTTTGCCGCCAGAGGGCGCTGTTTCGATCTCGAAAATTTAGTTCACATTTTTGCCACCAGAGGGCCAAAATTTTAGCATGATTTAGTTCCTTTTTCCGAAACCAGATGGCGCTGATTCGACATCGAAAATTTAGTTCACATTTTTGCCACCAGAAGGCCAAAATTTTAGCACGGTTTAGTTCCTTTTTCTGAAACCAGAGGGCGCTGATTCGACATCGAAAATTTAGTTCTCATTTTTGTCAACAGAGGGCCAAAATTTTAGCACGGTTTAGTTCCTTTTTCTGAAACCAGAGGGCGCTGATTCGACATCGAAAATTTAGTTCTCATTTTTGCCATCAGAGGGCCAAAAATTTGCCCTGCAGAATGTAAGGATATCTAGTTTGCTGAGGTGTAAGGGTTGCGGAGATATAAGGGATGTAGAGATGTAAGGGATGCAGGGATGTAAGCGATGCAGAGATGTAAGGGATGAAGAGATGTAAGGGATGAAGAGATGTAAGGAATGTAGGGATAAAAAGAATGCAGGGATGTAAGGGATGAAGAGATGCAAGGAATGTCGTGATGTAAGGGATACAGGGGTGTAAGAGTAATGTAAGGGATAAAGGGATGGTAAGAGATAGGGGCTAAAACATAGATGCATTAAAGGGATGCAGAAATGTGAGGATTGCAGAGATGTGAAGGATGCCGATATGTAAGAAATGGAGAGATATAAGGGATGTAGGGTTGAGCCCCGTGATGTCCTCAAATTAGGGGTCAAATAATAAATAGAAGGATAAAATAACAGGTGAGGCACTTAGAAGTAATAAAATCGACACGTTCATCCTTCTAATAAATTTATTTAATAAGCTAAGAAGATAAATACAACAAATTAAACGAACACAGAAAATAACATCATCGGGGTGTCAGGAACCCCGGTGCATCCGTTGGCGCTCTCTACATACCGACCTGATATCATCTTGGGGTGTTAAGGACCCCAAAACACCGGTAACACTCTTTGCATACCGATATTATGGAATCCGGGGTATCAAGGTCCCCAATGTATCGGTGGCACTCTCTGTATACCGTCCTGATATCACCGGGGTGTTAGGGACCCCAAAGCACCAATGATACTCTCTACATACCGTCAGAATTTCATTCTGGGGTGTTAAGGACCCCGGTGCATTAGTAGCGCTCTCTGGATGCCGACCTGATATGACTGGGGTGTTAGGAACCCCGAAGCACCAATGATACTCTCTACATACCGCTATGTAAAATTTCATTCTGGGATGTCAAGGACCCCGGTGCATTTAGTAGCGCTCTCTGTATACCGACCTGATGTCACTGGGGTGTTAGGGACCCCGAAGCACCAATGATACTCTACATACCGTCAAAATTTCATTCTGGGATGTCAAGGACCCCGATGCATCAGGTTATCGGTCAAGTCGTCGGTAAGTTGTCCTATAACTTCAGCTATTTGCCAATAGATGGCGCTGCAGTCGACGATGGTATGGCGGTCTTAATCCATATTTAAAAATGAATTATTAGAGTTTAAATTGTAAAAATATATTTGAAATAGGAAGGTATAAAGGTTGACACGTCTTTAGGCTTGGAGAATTTGGCGAGGAATGAATAGTTACAAAAGTTATTCCAATTTGTTTAAAATAACAAATGAACAATAAACGTAGTTATAAAAAGATGGCGAACTAGTTAAGATATAATGGAAGTATAATGTATTGCCTTTTATTCCATTGTTTGTATTTTTTAGAAAACTTTCTATAAATTTGTACAATAAATCACTTGTAACATAAACCGATTTAAAAGTACGCCAGCGTTTCTAAGAATCTTACAGCAGTATTTATCGAATCGTTTAGCGTAACATAATCACTAAGTTATAATTGTTGAGATATTAAGAAGAATACTTATTTAGATACAATATATTATTCTTGCTAAATTTCTTTTGTATGTAATTATAATAATTATTGTAATGATAATTATTATTATTATCCCCTGAATTTATCAGTAACAATCCAATGAAGAATCTTTTATGCAATAAATTCAACAATTATTTCATCAGCGCATGTACTACTGCCTTTGCGTTTAATGATTTTAAATCTGTATAAGTTTGTCCTGTACCAACAAAAACAATTGGTTGTCCAGTAATGTATGTCATAGAAATCGCTGCGCCTACCTAAAAAAGAATATTAACAACGATTACATTTCGTATCATGTTTCTTATATCGTGCTGATGCATTTTATTTACCTTATCATCGATTGTATCAAATTTAGTTAACACGATTCCATCAATGATATGAGGATTGGTGGATTGACTATGATCGGCTAATGCTTGATTGAATTTCACTAATTGATCAACAGCTTCATTTCCAACAAGAGCTTCGCCGACGAAAAGTACTAAATCCGGCTCGTTCACTTTGATTAACTTAGCTAAGGCTCTCATCAACGGTTCATTGTCTTGCATTCGACCAGCGGTGTCCACTAAAACTACGTCGAATCTTGAATCCCTGGCAAAACGAATCGCTTCCATGGCGATACCAGCAGCATCCTTTCCATACCCTTTTTCGTATAACTGAACCATAGACTGATTTCCGTGTTTCTCTGGCGGATGAAGAGCATTTAAATGTCGCATATGAGTTCTCAATTGCTCAACTGCGCCAGCTCTGAAACGAAATGTAAAATGTATTCAAATATATATGTATACGATGCCCCAATATTAAAAGAAAATAGCTCTAAGTACCTGAATGTATCACATGCGGCAATAAGCACGCGGAAGTTGTTTTCTATCAGCCAGAAACAAATCTTCGCCAAATTGGTCGATTTTCCAACTCCATTGACACCGCAAAAGGTCATAACGTAAGGCCTATTGCTTCTTTTAGCTTCCATTGCATCACGAAGAATATCAACTCGTCTCTTCGGAGACAATATTTGCACTAACGAGTCTGTTAGCGTCGCCTTAACAGTACTCGATACACTGTCGAATGTACCGAGTACCTTTCCTTCCAGCTTTACACCAACAGAATCGCATAGTTTTTGAGCAATTTCCGCAGCTACATTCTTTCCAATCAAGTGATCCTTCAATTTATCCAGAACTGGAGCCATATCTTCGTGCTTCAAACTCTTATTACCAACCAAACTTT